TATGGATCATCCCAGTGTGAGTTTTCAATTCAGAAAGATGCTCCTAGTGATCCAGATAGAGAACATCTTTACACATTGTAACCAATGAGTCTGCAGAAGTGTGTGCTGTCATAAGACCTGTGATAGAATGAAGAGAGAATTAATGTGAGGAATGGTAAGAGAAGACAATTTGTGTGCTGTGGGGTTAAGAAGTTGTGTTGATTCTGACCTGATGGGCCATGTTGAGATATGGTGGGAGAATAGAAGAGAAGCCAAACTGGTGAGAACAGGATTTCACTCTGGCATCAAGCACATTCTCAGTTGTATCTCTCCTCTTCCTGCAGCTATAGGACACCATCTAAAAACCCTCACAATCAACTTCACCATAACCAACCTTCCATATTCATCAAATATGAGCAATGGTTCAGCTTTGTTCAGCTCAACTGAGACTTTCCTCCAGTACCTGGTGAGAACCTTATCCCAGCAGCCTGACAGAGATTGATCCCATATGACCCCTTTGTCCAACACCTGCTTCCATTTCCTTTCTCCTTCCCCATCCACAGCTTGGACACGTGTTCCAGAATGACTCCGTCAACTCCAGTTGCAGACTGGATTCCCTCCAGTGAGTCTCCTTTCTGTCCCTTTGCAAGGAATGAGCACTGCTCTTGTTACCATTCTCATTCCTCCTCCTTCCTTCTGGTTCTCATCTACATTATGACATTTCTAAAGGCTCCACACTCCTCTCTTTCCAGGCCTAAGAAGAACGGAACAGCCACTGGTGTGGATGCCGTCTGTGCCTACTACCATGACCCTGCACATCGTGGGATGGACATCAAAGAGCTGTACACAGAGCTGAGAAACCTAACTCAGGAAATCACCCAGCTGGGGAACTACTCCCTGGACAAGGACAGTCTCTATGTCAATGGTGAGTGTTCTCTGTGGTTTGTTATGGGATGTCCTAGGCATCCTTTGTTTTTCTTACCTCTCTCAGTATTATTGCTAGTAATGTCTACACCAGTTAATTCTATTTTCTTAGTACCTTGTTTCAAGAATCCAAGAAGCACAAACACAAACCTCGCAAGGAAATATGGGTGTTAGGTTTATGTGAATCCTTTCCTTAATTTTTTTTTCTTTTTCTGTTTTCCTTTCTCTAACATGACTTCTATTTTTTAGGTTATAATAAACCTGGTCCTGAAGAACCTTCTACAAGTAAGTACCAATTTAGCCTGACCTAAACCTTGGTCTATATATTTTCTGCTCATTTCCAATGAAGAAATTACCCAAATATTAACTTCAGAGAGGCTAAGGTCTCAATGGAAGCAAGATACAAAGCTATTGGTCTCTTCTTGAAACTCAACTCTAATGTTGAATTTTTGAATTTCCATGTTCTTCTCCGTTGGATAAAAGTATTTGTACAATGTAGCTCACAGAATTATGGATCTTAATTTAGATGGCTACTGTGTAATTTATGTCCCCTAAAAAGAAGTATCCCCATCAGGGACTTTATTATCAAGCTGCAAATTTGGATGACTAATTTAGTGGTTTTTTTATATTTTCCTTCTCTCTTGTATATTTTCTAATTTATACTAGTTCTCTTTAAGTATTATACCAAGAATTTGTGTTGCTTTTGCATCAGTGAATATGTGTTACCAGACCAGTCATTGTTCTAATTAAAAGCATTAGCAGTTGATCAAGATTGTTAATAGCTTATCTCCTCCAGTAGCATGCATTGCACCTTCCAGCACTCTGAAACCCAGCCAGAAAGGTTGAAACTTACAGCTGAGTGTCGGTTTAACTGTCCATGTGCTATGGCTCAAGTGCCTGGTATCTTCAGCAATATGAATCTAACCAAGAAGTCCTGGAGAGTAACCCAATGCAATGGTAATAGGCAAAACTGTTTGGAAGTCACTGGTACATCACTTCTCAATAGCTCCAAAAGGAATAATCCATTCCTAGTGCTGGATATTTATTTGTCATCCAATGGTGTCTAGTGGGGCATTGCTGCCCCATTATATAGCAACTCCATTTAGACTCCTTTTTGTGTGCATGCATATACTTTAGGCAACTTTGTTAGCATTAGAGTTTTTCACAATAATTTGTGATTTACTTCGTGTTCATTATTCCTGTCTGTATTCCCCTTCTACCTACACATTTGACTAGGTACCTCCTTCCCCATCTTGTCCTTCCAATTTTCTCATTCCCTTTCCCCCTTAATATAACTATATCCTGACACATAAAATACATACATCTAAAGATTCAAAATAAACATCTAAAATGATAGAAAATGTATGACTTCTTCTGTCTTACTTCAGGTTACTTCACCCATAATGATTGTTTTCAACTTCATCCATTTACATTCACATTCCTTAAATGTTTCGATTTTATTTAAATTTTTATGTGATTTATTTTGTTCATGTGTTTCTCTCCTCCAGCTCCTTTCAGTTCCTTCCCACTTCCCTACTCATACAACTTCATGTTCTTTCTCTCTCTTTGTTTTTCTCTCCATCCCCCAAGTCCACAAAAGACAAAAGTAAAATCCAAACAAACATAAAAAATAAGGAAGACAAATTAATTCAAAATGGAAGAAAATGAAACAAAATCTCTTACCAAATTAAAAACTGAAAAAAAATAATAAGGTGTCCATTTTCTGTTGTTCTACTATTTCTGGGCCTGTGACCCATCCTGCTCTGGATGTGGTTATACACCTAGTGACACTCCTTTGGTGAAAATTGATTTTCCCTTTCTTAGCTGGTCCTTATTGGAAACAGTTTCTTGGTAAGGGGTCTACTTCCGTTTTTCAGTGCTGTAATTTCCTGGTTTGAACTTGTACAGCTCAAAGCACTGTATATAACTCCAAGGTTATAGTATCTTCCAGATACAAAAGGACTGGGGACTGGTACACATATGAACTGACAGATACTGTGGCAATTGTATTATTCTTACCAGCTTAAAAATATTGTTGAAATGTACCATATTTTTATTATCTGTCCACTAGTTGGTGAACATCTAGACTGTTACAATTTGCTAGATATTGTAAATAGAGCAGCAATAAACATGGGCATGACTGTCTTTCAATAGCAATGTATGGACTCCCTTGAGTGTATGCCCCAGAGTGGTAACATTGGATTTTATAGTAGATCTATTTCTAACATTTTAGGAACCTTTACAGTTATTTCTGTAGTAGATACAGCCCAAATAAAAGTGAATAATTATTCCTGTTTGCCCACATCTGCCAGCACTTGAAATCCTTTTATTCTTAGCCATTATGAAAGAGATATATGAAATTTTAAAGAAGTTTTAAATTTTTTACTGATACATGATATTTGATCATATTTTTAAAAAATATTTCTACACAGTTTATATTTCATTTTGTGAGAATTATAGGAGCCATGCCACAATTTATATTGGTTTATTTTCTTCTTGGATAATTTTTAATTTATTTGAATATTCTTTTTTTAAATATTTATTTATTTACTATGTATACAATATTCTGTCTGTATGTCCGCAGGCCAGAAGAGGGCACCAGACATCATTACAGATTGTTGTGAGCCACCATGTGGTTGCTGGGAATTGAACTGAGGACCTTTGGAAGAGCAGGCAATGCTCTTAACCACTGAGCCATCTCTCCAGCCCCCTATTTGTATATTCTTGACACTAACCTTCTGTCAAATATATAGCTGATAAATTTTTTGCCATTTGGTAAGAAGCCACTTTGCGCAAACAATGCTATCTTTTTCTCTAGAGAAGCTTTTTTGATTTACAAGGACTTTAAGACTTTACTATCCATGTTCTGTCACAAAAAAAAAATTTCTTGTTCCAAGAAGTTCAAGCACATTCCCCATTTTCTCTTCAACTACATCAAGGTGCCAGGATTTATGTAAAGGTTGTTTAAGCATTTTGAGTTGAGTTTGGGGTGTTCAGTGGCCTCTCATCATTACTTTTCCAGCTGTCCACTCTTCCATCTATTCCTGCACTCTTCTCACTTTTCCATCAATCCATCTATCTATTGAACCATCCATCCATCCATCCATCCATCCATCAACCCATTCTCTTACCTATTCTTATGTATTTCATGAGTTTCTTCTCTTTCTCCTTCCTTTATGCATGATTCTCTTTATTTACTCATTCACATTTATTGACAAACTCAACTACTGTCTATATTCCAGGTCATACTACTTTTTTTCTTTATGCATTCATACATGCATCCACCTGACCTTTTATCAGACACATCTCTCCGTATATATTCATATATTCGCTACCTGTGTGATCAACTGCTCTTCTGTCAGCTACTACATATCATTCAGTCCATTAGATTTTTTTACACACCTTTGTCTTCTATTTGCTTAGCTTTTAGCATCCACTTTCTCTCTTTTATTATTCTGTGAACTCACCTACCAATCCATTCATGTATCCATGCATGCAGTGCTTATCTACCCATCCTTCCACCTACCCATCTATTCAATTCTCATCTACTCATCTATATTAGAATGCTATAATCTGCTCCTTTGTGCATGCACACATCACACATCCTCACACACTTGTTAACTCATCATCAAGTTCATTCACTTAGTTGTTCTCTCTTCTCTACTACATTCTACCTAAATGAGATATCTTTTCTGATTCTTATTGAATTGGTCCTCCTTTTATGTAACTTTCCTTCTATCCATCTACTTTTCCTTTACATTTGCGATTCTCCTAATTCATCGGTGTTCTTTACTCAACCACTATATTAATTACTTATCTCAATATCTCGAGTTAATTCTGTTCATAGTGTAATTTACTTCTCCACACACACTCTTAAGCTTAGCTAATGGTTCCCTGCAAATAGTTGTTCTGCTTCTAATCATAGCTAGAAAAGTTTCTTTCCCTATTGACAGCCTTGTTGTATTTAGAAGGGGAAGGTTATTTTAGGAAAAATCCTCCTGAGCTGAAACTCTAGGATGAGGAAGAACAATCCAGATAAATGAAGCATGAAATGTTCTCAGAAATGAGAATTTCAGCAATGACAATCCTTTCCACAGCTCGTGTGCCAGCCACCACTACCCTACCTTCTCCATCTGCATCTCTGCAGCCAGAACCTGCCACAGGTATCTCTGGATCCCATTGTCTGCCTTTGATTAGATATCTTGTCCTGCACTTGTACCACGTGTCTTCCAGATATATCTAGGATATGGGTTTGTGAATATGCTAGTGTCAGGGTCATGTTCATATGTGCATAGATCAGACTAACAAGCCCACATGCCTGGTGGTAGTGCTGTTCATAGTTGACTGGTTCTTCTACTTCAAATTGAAAAAAAAAATGTCCCATAGTTAAGTCCACTGTCAGTCTGATAGAAGCAATTCTTCAATTGGTATTCCCACATGTGAGGGCTTGATAGTCATAATGGCCACTACAAGTGTCAAATCTTCAAGTGCAAATTTGACACTGAAAGTACATGTGTAACCATGGGTAGTAATTCACTATAGATCATCCCAGTGTAAGTTTTCATTTCAGAAAGATGCTCCTCTTGTAGTTCTAGTGTAGATAACATCTTTAGACATTGTATCCAATGAGTAGGCAGGAAGCATGTGCTGGTCGTGAGATAATACCTGAACTGGAATGAAGAGAGAATGAATGTGAGGAATGCTAAGAGAAGGTGATTTGTGTGCTGTGGGGTTAAGAAGTTGTATAGGTTCTGACCTGATTGGCCATGTAGAGAGCCAAACTGGTGAGACAGGATTTCACTCTGGCATCAAGCACATTCTCAGTTGTATCTCTCCTCTTCCTGCAGCTATAGGGCACCATCTAAAAACCCTCACAATCAACTTCACCATAACCAACCTTCCATATTCATCAAATATGAGCAATGGTTCAGCTCTGTTCAGCTCAACTGAGACTTTCCTCCAGTACCTGGTGAGAACCTTATCCCAGCAGCCTGGGGGAGATTGATCCCATATGACGCCTTTGTCCAACACCTGCTTTCATTTCTCTCTTCCTTCCCCATCCACAGCTTGGACACGTGTTGCAGAATGACTCCGTCAACTCCAGTTGCAGACTGGATTCCCTCCGGTGAGTCTCCTTTCTGTCCCTTTGCAAGGAATGAGCACTGCTCTTGTTACCATTCTCATTCCTCCTCCTTCCTTCTGGTTCTCATCTACATTATGACATTTCTGAAGGCTCCACACTCCTCTCTTTCCAGGCCTAAGAAGAACGGAACAGCCACTGGTGTGGATGCCATCTGTGCCTACTACCGTGACCCTGCACATCGTGGGATGGACATCAAAGAGCTGTACACAGAGCTGAGAAACCTAACTCAGGAAATCACCCAGCTGGGGAACTACTCCCTGGACAAGGACAGTCTCTATGTCAATGGTGAGTGTTCTCTGTGGTTTGTTATGGGATGTCCTAGGCATCCTTTGTTTTTCTTACCTCTCTCAATATTATTGATAGTACTGTCTACACCAGTTAATTCTATATTCTTAGTACCTTGTTTCAAGAAGCACACACACACACACAAACTGGGGAAAAATGTGGGTGTTATGTTTATATGAATCCTTTCCTTTGTTTTTCCTTCTTCCGTTTTTCATTCCTCTAACATGCCTACTATTTCCTAGGTTATAATAAGCCTGGTCCTGAAGAACCTTTGACAAGTAAGTACCAATGTAGCATGACCTAGATATTGGTCCATATATTTTCTTCTCATTTTCAGTGAAAAATTCACCCAAATAGAAACCAATCTCTTCAGAGAGGCCAGGGTCTCAATGAAATCATGACACGTAGCCATTGGTCTCTTCTTGAAACTCAACTCTAATATTAGCTTTCTTAATTTCCATATTCTTCTCAGTTGGATAAAAGTATTTGTAAAATGTAGCTCACAGAATTATGGGACTTAGTTTAGATGGCTACAGTGTAATTATTGTCCAGTAAAAAGAAGTATCCCCATTAGAGACTTAGTTATCATGCTGCAAATTTGGATGACTAATAAACTGTTTTTCTAAAATTGCCTTCTCTCTTGTATCTTTTCTAATTTATATTAGTTCTCTTTGAATATTATATCAAGAATTTTTGTTGCTAATGCAACATGTCTTACCAGACCAGTTATCATTGTAATTCAAAAAGTTAGCAGTTGAGCAAGACTGGTAATTGCTTTCCTCTTCCGGTAGCATGCATAGCACCTTCCAGCACTCTGAAAGCCAGCCAGAAGGGATGAAACTTCCAGCTGAGTGCCAGTTTACCTCCCCATGTGCTATGGCTCCAGTGCCTGGTATCTTCAGCAATACAAATCTAACCAAGAAGTTCTGGAGGGTAGCCAAATGCAATGGCAATAGTCAGCTCTGTTTGGAAATCACTGGTACATCACGTGCTGATAGCTCCAAAAGGAATAATCTGTTCCTAGTAGTGGACTTGTATTTGTCTTCCAGTGGTGTCTAGTGGGGCATTGCTGCCCATTATATAGCAACTCCATTTAGACTTCTTATATGTGTGCTTGCATATACTTTAGGAGACTTCTTTAGTATTAGAGTTCTCCATGACAATTTGTGATGTCCTTAGTGTTCAATATTTCTTCCTGCATTCCCCTTCTACCTACTCATTTGACTAGTTACCTCCTTCCCCATCTTGTCCTTCCAATTTTCTCATTCCCTTTCCCCCTCAATGTCATCATATACTATCAAATGAAATATATACATCTAAAGATTCAAAATCAACGTCTACAAATGATAGAAAATGTATGACTTCTCCTGTCTTACTCCAGATTACTTCACGCATATTGATTGTTTTCGACTTCATCCATTTATATTCACATTTCATAACTCTATCATTTTTATTTGAATTTCTATGTGATGTATTTTGTTCATGTATTTCTCTCCGCCAGCTCCTTTCAGTTCCTTCCCACTTCTCTACTCATACAACTTCAAGTTCTTTCTCTCTCTTTGTTTTTTTCTCCATCCCCAAAGTCCACAAAAGACAAAAGTAAAATCCAAACAAACATACAAAAATCAAGAAGACAAATTAATTCAAAATGGAAGAAAATGAAACAAAATCTCATACCAAATTAAAAACTGAAAAAATAAGGTGTCCATTTTCTGTTGTTCTACTATTTCTGGGCCTGTGACCCATCCTGCTCTGGATGTGGTTATACACCTAGTGACACTCCTTTGGTGAAAATTGATTTTCCCTTTCTTAGCTGGTCCTTATTGGAAACAGTTTCTTAGTAAGGGGTCTACTTCCATTTTTCAGTGCTGTAATTTCCTCGTTTGAACTTGTACAGCTCAAAGCACTGTAGATGACTCTAAGGATACAGTATCTTCCAGATACAACAGGACTGGTACACAGATGAACTCACAGAGACTGTGGCAATTGTATTGTTGTTGCCAGCTTAAAAATATTGTTGAAATGTACCATATTTTTATTATCTGTCCACTAGTCGGTGGGCATCTAGACTGTTACAATTTGCTAGATATTGTGAATAGAGTAGCAATAAACATGGACATGCCTGTCTTTCAGTAGTAATGTATGGACTCCTTGAGTGTATGGCACAAAGTGGTAACATTGAATCTTATAGTAGATCTATTTCTACCATTTTAGGGACCTTCACACTTATATCTGTAGTGGAGACACCCCCAAATAAAAGTTAATTATTATTCCTGTTTCCCCACATCTGCCAGCACTTGTAATCATTTTCTTCTTGTGTGTGTTTTTTGTTTCTTCTTTGTTTGAATCTTAGCCATTATGATGAGGAGAAATAAAATTTTAAAGAAGTTCTAAGTGGGGGCTGGAGAGATGGCTCAGTGGTTAAGAGCATTACCTGCTCTTCCAAAGGTCCTGAGTTCAATTCCCAGCAACCACATGGTGGCTCACAACCATCTGTAAAGAGGTCTGGCGCCCTCTTCTGGCCTTCAGGCATACAGACATAATATTGTATACATAATAAATAAATAAATAAATATTTAAAAAAAGAAGTTTTAAGTGTTTTTACTGATACATAGATGTGTTGATCATTTTTTAAAAATATTTCTGCACAGTTTGTATTTCATTTTGTGAGAATTATCACAGCCTTGCCACAGTTGTTATTGGGTTGGTTTTTTTATGGATAATTTTTAATTTATTTGTATGTTCTTGACTCTAACCCTCTGTCAAATATTTATCTGATACATTTTTTGCCATTCTGTTTGAAGCTACTTTGTTCAAACAATGCTATCTTTTTCTCTAGAGAAGTTTTTTTTTTTTTAATTCACAAGTACATGTGTATTCATTGTTAGTCTTTAAGACTATGCTATCCAGGTTCTGTCCCCCAAAAAAACTGTTTCTTATGCCAGTAAGTTCAAGCACATTCCCCATTTTCTCTTCAACTACATCAAGGTGCCAGGATTTATGTAAAGGTTGTTTAATCATTTGGAGTTGAGTTTGGGGTGTTCAGTGGCCTCTCATCATTACCTTTCCAGCTGTCCATTCTTCCATTTTTCTAGCTATTCCTACACTCCTCTCACTTTTCCATCAATCCATCTATCCACTGAACCATCCATCCATCCATCCATCTATTTGTCTATCCATCCATCCATCCATTTGTCTACCCATCCATCCATCCATCCATTTGTCTATCCATCCATCCATTCATCCATCCATCCATTCATCTATTCTTCTACCTATTCTATTAAATTTTATTAGTTTCTTCTCTTTCTTCTTTCTTTATACATGATTGTGTTTATTCACTCATTTACATTCACTGACTAACTCAAACTACTGTCCATATTCCAGGTCATACTACTTTTTTCCTTTATGCATTCATACATGCATCCACCTGACCTTTTATCAGGCACATCTCTCCTTATATATTCATATATTCACCACCTGTATTATCACCTGCTTTGCTATCAGCTACTACATATTATTCAGACCATTCAGTTTTTTATACACCCATGTCTTCTGCTTGCTTAGGTTTTAGCATCCACTTTCTCTCTTTTATTGTTCTTTGAACTCACCTACCAATCCATTCATGTATCCATGCATGCAGTGCTTATCTACCCATCCATCCACCTACCCATCTATTCAATTCTCATTTACTCATCTATACTAGAATGCTATAATCTGCTCCTTGGTGCATGCACACATGCACACATCCTCACACACTTGTTAACTCATCATCAAGTTCATTCACTTACTTGTTCTCTCTTCTCTACTACATTCTACCTAAATGAGATATCTTTTCTGATTCTTTTTGAATTACTATGGTCTTCCTTTTGTGTATTTTTCCTTCTATCCCTCTATTTTTCCTTTTTACTCTCGATTCTCCTAATTCATCAGTGTTCTCAACCACTGTAATGATTACTTATCTCAATATCTTGAGTTAATTCTGGTCATAGCATAATTCACTTCTCCACACACAGTCACTCTTCATTTTAGTTCAGGTTTCATCTGTGAAGAGTTGTTCTGCTTCTAATCATAGCTAGAAAAGTTTCTGTCACTATGGACAGCCTTGTTGTATTTAGAAGGGGAAAGCTTTAGTAGGAAAATTTCTCCTGAGCTGAAACTCTAGAATGAGTAAGAACAATCCAGATAAATGAAGCATGAAATGTTCTCAGAAATGAGAATTTCATCAATGACAATCCTTTCCACAGCTCGTGAGCCAGCCACCACTACTCTACCTTCTACATCTGCATCTCTGCAGCCAGAACCTGCCACAGGTAACTTGGGACCATGTGATTAGATACCTTGTCCCACACTTCTACCACGTGTCTTCCAGATATATCTAGGCAACCAGTATGTGAAGTATCAGGATCATGTTCATATGTGCATAGATCAGACTAACAAGCCACATGCCTGGTGGCAGTGCTGTTCATAGTTAACTGGTTCTTCTAGATCAAATTACAATAAAAAATAAGTCCCATAGTTAGGTCCACTGTCAATCTGATAGAAGCAATTCTTCAATTCTTATTCCCATGTATGATTATTTAACGATCATCACTAGCCACCACAAGGGTCAAGTCTTCAGTTACAACCTGGACACAACAATGCACATGGATCCATGTTTAGCAACGCATTATAGACCATCCCAGTGTGACTTTTCATTTGAGAAACATACTGCTAGTGATCCACATAGAGACAGCTTTAGACATTGCATCCATTAAGTTTGCAGAAAGTATGTGCTGGTCACAAGCTAAAATATATGCTAGAATAAAGAGAGAATGAATGTGGGGAATTTTAACAGAAGGTGATTGTGTGTTGTGGGATTAAGAAGTTGTGTAAGTTATGATCTGATTGGCCATGTTCAGTTGCCGTGAGAGACTGAAAGAGAAGCCAAACTGGAGAGAACAGGATTTCACTCTGGCATCAAGCAAATTCTTAGTTGTATCTCTCCTCTTCCTGCAGCTATAGGGCACCATCTAAAAACCCTCACAATCAACTTCACCATAACCAACCTTCCATATTCATCAAATATGAGCAATGATTCAGCTTTGTTCAGCTCAACTGAGACTTTCCTCCAGTACCTGGTGAGAACCTTATCCCAGCAGCCTGACAGAGATTGATCCCATATGACCCCTTTGTCCAACACCTGCTTTCATTTCCCTTCTCCTTCCCCATCCACAGCTTGGACACGTGTTCCAGAATGACTCCTTCAACTCCAGTTGCAGACTGGATTCCCTCAGGTGAGTCTCCTTTCTGTCCCTTTGCAAGGAATGAGCACTGCTCTTGTTACCATTCTCATTCCTCCTCCTTCCTTCTGGTTCTCATCTACATTATGACTTTTCTGAAGGCTCCACACTCCTCTCTTTCCAGGCCTAAGAAGAACGGAACAGCCACTGGTGTGGATGCCGTCTGTGCCTACTACCATGACCCTGCACATTCTGGGGTGGACATCAAAGAGCTGTACACAGAGCTGAGAAACCTAACTCAGGAAATCACCCAGCTGGGGAACTACTCCCTGGACAAGGACAGTCTCTATGTCAATGGTGAGTGTTCTCTGTGGTTTGTTATGGGATGTCCTAGGCATCCTTTATTTTTCTTACCTCTCTCAATATTATTGATAGTACTGTCTACACCAGTTAATTCTATTTTCTTAGTACCTTGATTCAAGAATCCAAGAGCACACATACAAACCTGGCAAGGAAATATGGGTGTTAGGTTTATATGAATCCTTTCCTTAATTTTTTTTCTTTTTCTGTTTTCCTTCCTCTGACATGACTTCTATTTTTTAGGTTATAATAAACCTGGTCCTGAAGAACCTTCTACAAGTAAGTACCAATTTAGCCTGACCTAGATCTTGGTCCATATGTTTTCTGCTCATTTTCAATGAAGAATTCACCCAAATACAAACCAATCTCTTCAGAGAGGCCAAGATCTCAATGGAAGCAAGATACAGAGCCATTGGACTCCTCTTAAATTCAGCTCTAATGTTGGGTTTCTCAATTTCCATATTCTTCTCAGTTTGATAAAAGTATTTGTAAAATGTAGCTTACAGTATTATGGAGCTTAGTTTAAATGACTACTATGTAATTTATGTCTCCTAAAAAGAAAAATCCCCATCAGGTACTTCATTATCAAGCTGCAAAATTTAGATTACTAATTATTTGTTTTTCTAAAATTGCCTTCTCTCTTGTATCTTTTCTAATTTATATTAGTTCTCTTTAAATATTATATCAAAAATTTGTCATGCTATTGCATCAGTTAACATGTGTTACCAGACCAGTCATAGTTGTAATTCAAAGTGTTAGCAGCAGAACAAGATTTGTGATTGCTTTCCTCCTCCAGTAGCATGCATAGCACCTTCCAGCACTCTGAAAGCCAGCCAGAAGGGATGAAACTTCCAGCTGAGTGCCAGTTTACCTCCCCATGTGCTATGGCTCAAATGCCTGGTATCTTCAGCAATACAAATCTAACCAAGATGTCCTGGAGGTAACCCAGAGCAATGGGATTAGGCAAAACTGTTTGGAAGTCACTGGTGCATCACTTCTCGATAGCTCCAAAAGGAATAATCCATTCCTAGTGCTAGATTTTATTGATCATCCAGTGGTGTCTAGTAGGGCATTGCTTCCTCATTATATAGTAACTACTATAGCATTAGATTTCTGCCTTACATTTTGTGATGTCCTCAGTATTCATTATTCCTCCCTGTATTCCCTTTCTACCTACTCATTTGACTAGGTACCTCCTTCCCCATCTTGTCCTTCCAATTTTCTAATTCCCTTTCCTCCTCAATATCACCATATCCTATCAAATGAAATAATACATCTAAAGATTCAAAATAAACATCTAAAATGATAGAAAATGTCCGACTTCTAATCTCTTGCTCCAGGTTACTTCACCCATATTGATTGTTTTCGACTTCATCCACTTATCTTCACATTTCTTAACTGTTTCAATTTTATTTAAATTTCTATGTGATGTATTTTGATCATAATGTTTCTCTCTTCCAGCTCCTTTCAGTTCCTTCCCACTTCCCTACTCATACAACTTCAAGTTCTTTCTCTCTCTTTGTTTTTCCTCCATCCCCCAAGTCCCCAAAAGACAAAAGTAAATTTCAAACAAACATACAAAAATCAAGAAGACAAATTAATTTAAAATGGAAAAAAATGAAAAATAAGTCTCATACCAAATTAAAAACTGAAAAAAAAATAAGGTGTCCATTTTCTGTTGTTCTACTATTTCTGGGCCTGTGACCCATCCTGCTCTGGATGTGGTTATACACCTAGTGACACTCCTTTGGTGAAAATTAATTTTCCCTTTCTTAACTGGTACTCATTGCAAACAGTTTCTTGTTAAGGGGTCTACTTCCATTTTTCAGTGATGTAATTTCCTCGTTTGAACTTGTACAGCTCAAGGCACTGTAGATGACTCTAAGGATACAGTATCTTCCAGATACAACAGGACTGGTACACAGATGAACTCACAGAGACTGTGGCAATTGTATTGTTGTTACCAGCTTAAAAATATTGTTGAAATGCACCATATTTTTATTATCTGTCCTCCAGTTTGTAGGTATCTAAACTGTTACAATTTGCTAGATATTGTGAATAGATCAGCAATAAACATGGACTTGCCTGTCTTTCAATAGTAATGTATGGTCTGCCTTGAGTGTGTGCCCAGAGTTTTAACATTGGATCTTATAGTAGGTCTATTTCTACCATTTTAGGGACTGTCACACTTATTTCTAGAGTGGATGCACCCCTACCAGAAGTGAATAATTGTTTCTGTTTCCCCACATCTGCCAGCACTTGTAGTCATTTTGTTTTTGTGAGTTTGTTTGGGGGGTTTTTGTTGTTGTTTTAATCTTAGCCATTATGATAGGGATAAGGAGAAATTTTAAAGATGTTTTATTTTTTTTTACTGATACTTAGGTATGTTGATCATCTTTTTAAAAAAATATTTGTGAACACTTTGCATTTCATTTTGTGTGAATTATCGGAGCCATTACACAATTTTTATTGGGTTGTTTTCTTTTTGAACAATTTTTAATTTATTTGAATATTCTTGACACTAGCCCTCTGTCAAATATTTAGCTGATAAATTTTTTGCCATTCTGTAAGAAACTACTTTGTTCGAACAATGCTATCTTTTTTCTAGAGAAGCTTTTTTGGATTCACAAGGACGTGTATTCATTATTAGTCTTTAAGACTTTGCTTTCCAGGTTCTGTCCCAAAAAATTAGTCCTTGTGCCAATAAGTTCAAGTGTATTCCCTATTTTCTCCTCAACTACATCAAGGTGCCAGGACTTATGTAAAGGTTGCATAATCATTTGGAGTAGAGTTTTGGGTGTGCATTGGCCTACTCACCATTACCTTTCCAGCTGTCCATTCTTCCATTTTTCTAGCTATTCCTACACTCATTGCATATTTCCATCAATCCATCTATTTTTTGAACTATCTATCCTTCCATTCACCCATCTATCTGTCTAACTATCCTTCCATCCATCCATTCATCCATCCATCCATCCATCCATCCATCTATCAACGCATTCCCTTACCTATTCTTTTGTATTTCATGAGTTTCTTCTCTTTCTCCTTCCTTTATGCATGATTCTCTTTATTTACTCATTCACATTTATTGACAAACTCAACTACTGTCCATATTCCAGGTCATACTACTTTTTTTCTTTATGCATTCATACGTGCACCCACCTGACCTTTTATCAGACACATCTGTCCTTATATATTCATATATTCGCTACCTGTATGATCAACTGCTCTTCTTTCAGCTACTACATATCATTCAGTCCATTCAGTTATTTATACACCCATGTCTTCTGCTTGCTTAGATTTTAGAATTCACTTTCTCTCTTTTGTTATTCTGTGAACTCACATACAAATCAATTCCTGTATCCATGCATGCAGTGCTTATCTACCGATCCATCCACCTACCCATCTATTCAATTCTCATCTACTCATCTACATTAGAATGATATAATCTGCTCCTTGGTGCATGCACACATCCTCACACACTTGCTAACCCATCATCAAGTTCATTAACTTAGTTGTTCTCTCTCCTCTACTATCTTCCACCTACACAAGACTTTTTTTTATTTTTATTGAGTTACTTTTGTCCTCTTTTATATATCTTTCCTTCTATCCATCTAATTTTTTATATTCTCTATTCTCCTAATTCTTCTGTGTTTTTTACTCAAACACTGTATCTCAATATCTCAAGTTAATTCTGGTCATAGTAAAATTCACTTCTCCACACACAGTCACTCTTCAGTTTAGCTCATGGTTCATCTGTGAATGATTTTTCTGCCTATAATCATAGCTAAAAAAAATATTTCTCTCACTATGGACAGTCTTGTATTTAGGAAGGGGAAGGTTTTCAGAGGAAAATTTATCCTGAGCTGAAACTCTAAGATGCCTAAAAACAATCTAGATAAATGAAGCATGAGGTGTTCTTGGAAATGGGGATTTCATCAATGACAATCCTTTCCACAGCCCATGAGCCAGTCAACACTACCCTACCTTCTCCACCTGCATCTCTGCAGCCAGAACCTGCCACAGGTAAGTCTGGATCCCATTGCCTGCATTTGAATAGATCTGCCTGTCTTCCAGATAGAGCTAGAAAAAGAGTATGTGAAATGTCAGGGTCATCTTCATATGTGCAAAGATCAGAATGACAAGGCACATGCCTGGTTGTAATGCTGTTCATAGTTTACTGGTTCTTCTACATCAAATACCAAAAAAAAAAGTCACATAGATAAGACCACTGACAGTCTGATGGAAGCAATTCTTCAATTTGTATCCCCACGTGTGACTACTTGATAGCCATATTAGCCACCACAAGTGTCAAATGTTCAAGTGCACTTGACACTGAATGTACACATGGGACCATGGGTAGTAATGTATTATATATCATCCCAGTGTGAGTTTTGTAAAGATGCTCCTATTGTAGTTCAAGTGTAAGGAACATCTTTAGACATTGCATCCAATGAGTAGGCAGGAAGTATGTGCTGGTCATAAGATAATACCTGTGCTGGAATGAATAGATAATGAATGTGAGAAATGCTAAGAGAAGACAATTTGTGTGCTGTGGGGTTAAGAAGTTGTGGAGGTTCTGACCTGATTGGACATTTTGAGATTGGTGGGAGACTGAAAGAAAAGCCAAACTGAAGAGAACAGGATTTCGCTCTGGCAGCAAGCAAATTCTAATTGATCTCTTCTCTTCCTGCAGCTATAGGGCACCATCTAAAAACCCTCACAATCAACTTCACCATAACCAACCTTCCATATTCATCAAATATGAGCAATGCCTCAGCTCTGTTCAGCTCAACTGAGACTTTCCTCCAGTACCTGGTGAGAACCTTATCCCAGCAGCCTGACAGAGATTGATCCCATATGACCCCTTTGTCCAAAACCTGCTTTCATTTCCCTTCTCCTTCCCCATCCACAGCTTGGACACGTGTTGCAGAATGACTCCGTCAACTCCAGTTGCAGACTGGATTCCCTCAGGTGAGTCTCCTTTCTGTCCCTTTGCAAGGAATGAGCACTGCTCTTTTTACCATTCTCATTCCTCCTCCTTCCTTCTGGTTCTCATCTACATTATGACATTTCTGAAGGCTCCACACTCCTCTCTTTCCAGGCCTAAGAAGAACGGAACAGCCACTGGTGTGGATGCCGTCTGTGCCTACTACCATGACCCTGCACATCGTGGGATGGACATCAAAGAGCTGTACACAGAGCTGAGAAACCTAACTCAGGAAATCACCCAGCTGGGGAACTACTCCCTGGACAAGGACAGTCTCTATGTCAATGGTGAGTGTTCTTTGTGGTTTGTTATGGAATGCCCCAGGCATCCTTTACTTTACTTACCTCTCTCAGTATTATTGATAGTACTGTCTACACCAGATCATTGTATTTTCTTACTACCTTGTTTCCAGAATCCAAGAAGCACACACACAGAGCCTGCAAGGAAGTGTGGTTGTTATTTTCATATTTTGTACAAAGTCAGGAACCAGAGGGATAGGAATATGTTTGCTGAGCTTCCTTTCTACTTCTATTTGAATCCAGGAATATATTCCAAAGTTTATAGTACTCACATTTTTATACTGGTTTTTCTATTCCAATTAACAATATGTAGACTCTTGCTTGCAGATATATCCAGAATATTGTCAGTTCAATGACTCTATGCCTCGTCAATTGCCAAGTCATTTTAATCATAATAGGCTAGGATATGGGTAAGGAGATATAATGTATCTGTATTACTCGGAATTTAACAAAAAGGCAAAGCATAGAACTGAAAAGGCATTTTCCTGTTTCTACACTGAGTTTGGAGCAATTGATCTTGTATTATGCTGCTTTTATATTCAGTCTGATTCACAAAGCCAGTGAAAAGATTTGTATACAACTTCAACCCTTTTTTTATTTTCTATTTAGCATTTAATATAAACCTTATGACTTATACAAAGAGCAAATAACTTTCATCCATATCTTTTTCTAATAGAAACTGCAGTGGGGGCACACACTCTTTTGGTTTGTTTGTTTGTAATCATCATCATCATTATCATCATCACCATCTTTTATGCCCTAGCAATGCTTAAGCATGTATGAACAGCCTATTTCTGGTGGTTCTCCAGTTGTTCCTCTCCTGGGCAGTCCTTGATGCTTGTGTTATTGTCATTCTCAAGGTTCCACAGTCTTCATTCATGCTGTTGATCCAGCATATTGGGGGCCTTCCTGTTTGCCTTATCCCATGCACTCCTTCTAGCAGTGCTATCTTCAGGCATGTGCACCTTTCGTTCTCATAGCATGGCCAAAGCATCTAAAGCACTGTTTCATATCCTGTAGTTTACTTCCTTCTGCAGATGGAGATGTTTCTAAATGTCATTGTTACACAATCTATCTCTTCCTAAGAAACCTTTTGAGAAATGCCATCTCAAACACATTCACCTGCTATTCTGAGGAGCGTTTCATTGTCCAGGTTTCAGTAATAAAAAAGACAGCTCAAACTTGTCTAATATGCTTGTAATTTTGTTGTTGTTATGTCTTTTGCTCACCAAATGTTTCTTAGTGCCTGGAATGTAGCCTTCTCTATCCCTGTCTGCCTCTTGAGGTCTGAAATGGTTCTCTTTTGAACCAAGGTTACCTCCCAAATAGACAAAGTTGACTATTTGTTTGAAGTTCTCATTCTTTATTACAAGTTAAAATCCTGTGTGCCCTTCTCAAGTTTTGTATCTCAGCCTTCTCCATGTTTACTTTTATATCAAGGTTCTCACTTCCTACCACCACTCTATTTACCATGACCTGCAACTCATTTGGACTTTCAGCAAGCAGTGCTGTGTTGTCAGCCAAATGCAAGTTATTGATTCACACACCACCTATCTGCATGCCTATCTCCTCATCCTCCAGGGTTGTTGTTGCTATTATTATTCCAGGAATATATCAAAGAGTAGTGGTGAGAGGATGCATCCCTGCAACACTCCTAGGATTGTCTTAAACTGATCACTTAGCTCTCTACAGCCTTTGACTGATGCAAAAGTATCTTTATAGGTATTTTCTGGTATTCTTCTGATTTTTATCTGGGTACCTGTAGAACCCCATTGTTTCCTAAAGTACTTTTTCCCAAATGCTGTTCAAAGCATTCCTGTAGTCAATGTAACAGACGCACAAGTTTTTTCTAATTTTTTTGTATTTTCTTGCTAGTTGTCCTAAAGTGAAGATCTGATCAATTGTGCTCCTGTTAGCTCTGAATCCACACTGGGCCTGTGCTACAATTTCCTCCGTTCTGCCCTTGATTGTATGCAAAATAATGGAGAAGAAAATCTTACTGTTATGGCTAAACAAACTAATGTCCCTGTAATTTGAGCAGTCTAGCTTGCCCTTCTTCTTGTGTATGAGAATTATGACTGAGTGCTCAATTCTATGGGAATCACTTCATGCTCCCATTTCTCTGTGAAGAGTCTGAGAAGTTCCTCAGACTCTGAGCCCATTGTAGCTGCCTCCAACCTCTCCACTATGATGTCATCCACTCCTGTGGCCTTCCTGCATTTTGTTGTCTTCATAGGTTCTTCTGTCTCATTTTTGTCAATATTTAATATTTCCTCATTTTCTGTGGTTTCTCAGTGGCTGTCAAAGTGTTTCTCATTGCAGTCTACCTTGACAGCATTAGGATCTTTTTAAAGGGTGTCAAAGTCTTGTCTCCATCTTTGCTTTACTGCCTCTGGTTTTGTTAGCAAATGACCCTGCCCATCTTTTTTTTTTTTTTTGAGGCAGGGTTTTTCTATGGTTTTGGAGCCTGTCCTGGAACTAGCTCTTGTAGACCAGGCTGGACCCTGGCCATCTTTAATCACCCGAATCTGAGGAGCATATCTGGCAGTTATCTGTCTGATATCTTCACAGACAAGATGTGTTTTATTATGGAGTCTAGCCTCTCCCACCTCTCAGTATATACCATGTATACACAGCTCTCTGTCCTCATTCACTTTTCTTTTGATCTCTATGCACAAATAGTTGTGGTGATTTCTTGCCTGCATATTTGTCTCTTTGTTTGCTCTTTAGCTCCGTTCTTCCTTTCTGTTTGTACTATATACTTCAGATTAAAATAGAATCCTTCCCATAGAAAATGATCAATAACAATCTTCTGGCTGGATTTATAGTGGCAGAAAGGAAGGGAAATAACAGTGTGTATTGAGGCATATTGTTGTAGGAGTGAGATGGTAAAATATGTTTTGGTAAGAATATATTTGTAGCATAATAGAGGTGTGGAAAGAGATTGTGTAGTTGAAATATCAGGAAATTCTCATCCAGGATGACTTGTCAGATCTTGAAACATAAATACATGTTCACTAATCTACATAAGGGTGGTGTTGTGCCATATGAATCAAAACATGCTGAATCCTTTTCTTTAACTTCCTCTGACATATCTTCTATTTTCTAGGTTATAATAAACATGGTCCAGAAGAAACTCCTACAAGTATGTATCAGTCAAACACAACTTAGGTTTTAGTCCACACCTCCTCATTTCCAAAGGAAAGATGACCCAAAAACAAACCAGTCTTTTCAGAGAGGCCAAGGTCTCAATGAAAGCAAGATGCAGAACCAACCTGCCTGGTGGGGCCGCTCTTCATAGTTCACTGGGTCCTCTAAATAAATGTCAATCCAGAAAATGCACCATAGATATGCCCACAGGTCAATCTGATGAAGCAATTCTTCAATTCTTATCCCCATGTGTGACTATTTACCAACCATCACTAGCCACCACAAGTGTCAGTCTTCAATTGCAACCTGAACACAGAGAGTGCACATGAAACCATGGGTTGTCATGCATTACAGATGATCCCAGTGTGAGTTTTTGTTTAAGAAAGATGCTCCTAGTGATCCAGATACAGAACATATTTAGACATTGCATCCAACTGTTTGCAGGAAGTGAGTGCTGGTCATAAGATAATACCGGTGCTAGAATTAATAGATAATGAATGTGAGAAATGTTAAGAGAAGACAATTTGTGTGCTGTGGAGTTAGGAAGCTGTATAGGTTCTGACCTGATTGTATATGTTGAGACACAGTGAGAGACTGAAAGAGAAGCCAAACTGGTGAGAACAGGATTTCACTCTGGCATCAAGCACATTCTCAGTTGTATCTCTCCTCTTCCTGCAGCTATAGGGCACCATCTAAAAACCCTCACAATCAACTTCACCATAACCAACCTTCCATATTCATCAAATATGAGCAATGGTTCAGCTTTGTTCAGCTCAACTGAGACTTTCCTCCAGTACCTGGTGAGAACCTTATCCCAGCAGCCTGACAGAGATTGATCCCATATGACCCCTTTGTCCAACACCTGCTTTCATTTCCCTTCTCCTTCCCCATCCACAGCTTGGACACGTGTTCCAGAATGACTCCTTCAACTCCAGTTGCAGACTGGATTCCCTCAGGTGAGTCTCCTTTCTGTCCCTTTGCAAGGAATGAACACTGCTCTTGTTACCATTCTCATTCCTCCTCCTTCCTTCTGGTCCTCATCTACATTATGGCTTTTCTAAAGGCTGCACACTCCTCTCTTTCCAGGCCTAAGAAGAACGGAACAGCCACTGGTGTGGATGCCATCTGTGCCTACTACCATGACCCTGCACATCCTGGGATGGACATCAAAGAGCTGTACACAGAGCTGAGAAACCTAACTCAGGAAATCACCCAGCTGGGGAACTACTCCCTGGACAAGGACAGTCTCTATGTCAATGGTGAGTGTTCTCTGTGGTTTACTGTGGAATGTTCTTTAGCATTCTTTATGTTCATATACTTACAATTATATGAAAATTTCTCTGAGCTTATCAGCAAAGATAGTCTTCTCTATGCCTGAAATTTCAATAGTAGTTCTAAACATATTGAGTCTTCTTTTTTTTCTCTGCACTACCTTCTAATACAAATGAATGCTTGTTGACCAACCCTGATATGTCATTTTCTATGGTTTTGAATATTACTATTTACAAACCAGTTTGATACCATGTCTATTTGGGACACATAGTAAGTTTCCCTGTGGGGATAATTACTTTCTCAAGTAAAGGTTTTTATATTTTCAATACCAAGAATCAATTACTTCCTCTGAAATAAGCCCAAAATCCTTAATTAAAAGAGTTTGTTGCCCATAATAATTATACCACAATTGCACTTGTGAGCACACCTTTTCTGACCATTTGGTATTATAATACACAAGGCTCACAGGTAAGTAAAAATATTATTTGGTTTTCTCTCTCAGCAGCCTGTGTTTCATCTTTTGATACAAGGTACATCAGTCAGCAGTGAATGAGCCTCTAGTTCAATTCAGGATTGCTTGTGTCCTACATTTCAAAGTGTTGATATCTTGTCTTTTCAATTATTACACTCATTTTAATATAAGAACTGAAGAGAAGGAAGGGGAATTCACACTCCTACAACAGGTTTGTTACTAATCAGAATTATGGTGATCTCAGTTTCCATCTGATCACTATAATCTGAAATTGTGGGACATATATAGGCTTTTAGCCTTCATAAAGTTCACGATTAATGTGGTTAAATATGTTGTCTATGTAATAGTACCAAGCATCTTAGCCAAACATTAAGCTTGGCACCAGAGACATATAAGTTTCATATGCAGTTTGTTCCAGTGAGGCACAGACAGCACTGTATTCTTCAAATGAGAGTGGGGAAACCATGTATAGGAAGGACTCAATGGACATCAACTGGATGGATAGATAGAGGGATCATGTGAGGGAAGATGATAGTATAGATGGGTACATATAAATGGGAATTGAGGTATGACAAGAGATTTTATGAGAGCTCATGTTAGGAGCATGCTCTAAAAGTTGTAAGGACATGTTGGATCTGACTGATATGGCAATAAATTCTTGTTCATGTTGACATTTATATTAACTCTTAGGACAGAAATAGCTGCTATTCATATTTGTCCCAGGTGTACCAAGGCATGATGTAATATATAAGACCTTGTTGTTCATTACCCTTATGTGTGCCTTTTGTGTTATAGGTTATAATGAACATGATGCAGAAGGACTTCCTACAAGTATGTTTAAGTTTGACCTAGATAGGTCTTGGTTCACACATTTCTATTCATTTCTAAAGGAATCTTGCCCTAAGCATAAATGAATCTTTTTAAAGAGAATTAGAATAATAAAATTTGCTGTCTCTGGCCTCTTCTTGGAATTCCAGTTCAAGTTTTAGATTTCTGATTTTTCTTCACTCTGCTTAATTGGAGCAAGATGTTTATACAAATGTTGTCTGCAGAATTACAGAGCTGAGTTCACATTAAGACTGTAGTTCATGTCTTTTTAACACAGGTAAAATGTCCCCTAATGGAGCATGATTATTAAGTTGAAAATTCTGATGGCTACTAAAGTGATTTAGGCAAAATGTTCACATTCTCTTGTTCAGGGATCAATTCCTCTGTCTTTCTAGCTCTCCTTTTTTCACATTTCTACTCATTCATCCTCTGGCACCACATTTCCACCTATCCATCCATCCATTCGCATACAACATAACCCATCCACATATCTACTTGTCCCTCCTGTCCATTTCCTTGCCCAGTCTCATGTATTACTATCTTCATTCCTTCTGTTTTTCTTTCTATTTCTCATTTCTTAATCCATTTTACCCCTACATTCATTCAATATTTCCACCGACTGTCTTACTTATCCCTCATTAATTAATTCTTTTCTTTGTTTGTCTATCTACTAAAACATGCATACCTATCTACCAAACAATATAACCAGCTAGATAACCACCCACCTACCTAGATACCCATCCATATAACTACTTACTTCTGCATCTATCAATTTGTCCATTCATTTACAAATCACCTCATTCTGTCCATTTGCCTGTTTGAAATTACTTCTTTCTAACTTTTATTAATCTGTATATATATATACATATATATATATATGTGTGTGTGTGTGTGTGTGTATACATATATATGTATATATCCAACCTTCTATTCACTTACTCTCTAGACCTACCCATATGCACCCACTGACCTATATGTCTAAACATTTATCTAATTTGCCAGTCTATCTATCCATCTACCAATATTCTCTGCCCAGTTATCTTTTTGGCATTTGTTGCCCCCAACCTGTCCTTTCTCTCTATATCCATCCATCCATCCATCCATCCATCCATCCATCCATCCACATATCCACGCACACCAGTCATTGCATCCATCACGCATATATCCATCTACCCGCCCACATGCCCATCTATCATTGTGTACATATATTTATCTACTCTTTCTTAAATCTTCCATCATTCTACCTTCTCTTTATTTTTTTCTTAAATTTGTTTGAATATCTATTTATCTATTATCATGATACTCATGCATTCATCTCTTCTGCATTTTTTTTTGTCTTCCAGTTCATCTGGCCTATTTGCTTACCACTTTTTACATCCTGCTATCTGCTTTCTACCACCCGCTATCCACTTTCTACCACCCGCTATCCACTTTCTACCACCTGCTATCCACTTTCTACCACCTGCTATCTACTTTCTACCACCTGCTATCCACTTTCTACCACCCGCTATCCACTTTCTACCAACCATCCGCTATCCACTTTCTACCACCTGCTATCCACTTTCTACCACCCGCTATCCACTTTCTACCAACCATCCGCTATCCACTTTCTACCACCTGCTATCCACTTTCTACCACCCGCTATCCACTTTCTACCAACCATCCGCTATCCACTTTCTACCACCTGCTATCCACTTTCTACCACCCGCTATCCACTTTTTATTTCCTGCTATCCATTTTCACTATCTTGAATGGATTACATTCACAGGCTTGTCCCCCTCCATTCAGGCAATTACTCTTTTCTTTACTCTTATCCATGAACCACTTGATAATAATATACATGACTTGGGCCACTAATGGAAGGCTCTCTCATTATATGAAATCTCTGTTCATCGTGACAACAATCTTGTTCCAGCTCCTGAGCCACCCACCACCATCCTGGCTTCTCCATCAACATCTGTGCAGCCAGAACCCACAACAGGTATGTCAGAGCTCCTTTTCCTATCTGAGATGGGATTCCCATTCCACTACCTAACTTCCACATGACAAGTAGAAAACTAGAATGTGAATATTGTAATGTCAAGGCCATTTACAATAATAAACAAACAATCATTCTAATAATAAAGAGAATTCTATCACTTTAATCAAATGCTTCCTTTCATGCAACCACCAGACTCTGAATTAATAATTACAATAGAGTGAGAAATTTTAGTGGAAGAGGAGTCAGATAGTATAATATAAAGAAGGAATGGCTTTCTGAAGAATGTTGCACCTGAACTGAATCTCTATATTGAGTAGAAGTGATCCAAATAAATAAGGCATGGAGTTTTTCTGAGAGTATTCCCTTAGGGAGAGCTCACTGGCTCACAACATCATAATTTGATGGGAGAATAGAGAAGTTGGTTTACTTGAACCAAGAAAGTTCAGCACCCATATACCTTCTGTATATCTAGTTCTGGACCCACAGGACCATGCTGGGAGTTGTAGAATGGATAAGTAACTAATAATAAAAGGTCACTAGAAACCAGATTAGAAGGGGCCTTGAATGCCTAATCAATAAGATTCACCTTGGGATTAGGGAGATTGCTCAGTGGTTAAAGAGCTTTCTAAACAAATAAGAGGAGTACAGTTAAAATCCCAACATAGTAGCCTATCTGTAATTGCAGCACTTGGGAAGACAAGAAAGAGGGCCCCCTTCAAAACTGACCAGCTAGTCTAGTCAATAATGTTTCAATAAGAGACCCTGACTCAATATATAAGGTAGATAGGGGTCAAGGAAGACACTTGGTGTCAATCCCTGGCTCCCACATTTGCATCCACACACACACGTAGCAAAAATAATAAAAACCCAGAGACAGATATTGGTATTCAACCTGAAGATCAGAAAAGCAAAGCAGTCAAGCCACTAGAGAGCTCTTACCTCTGTGAAAACCTCATACTGAAAGAGAGCAAGTTCCTGCCTCTTCCCACCTAATATTCCTCTCTAGTGCTAGGATAAAAAGGGTGTGACTCCCTAGTACTGGAATTAAAGGTGTGAGCCACCACCATCTGGATCTGCTTCTGTATTGGTCTTGTGTAGTCCAGGGTGCCCTTGAACTCAAAGGGATCCATTTGCCTCTGTCTCCCAAATCCTAAGATTAAAGATGTGTAATACCACTGCATGGCCTCTAGTGGCTTAAGTTTTGCCTTCTGCTCTTTAGGCAAGCTTTTTTTCATATTTTATTTTTATTTATTTTCTTTTTAATTTGGTTTTATTGAGCTATACATTTTTCTGTGCTCCCCTTCCTGCCTCTCCCCTCTTCTTCAACCATCTCCCATGGTCCCCATGCTCTCAATTTACTCAGGAGATCTTGTCTTTTTCTACTTCCCAGGTAGATTAGATCCATGTATGTTTCTCTTGGGGTCCTCATTGTTGTCTAGGTTCGCTGGAATTGTGATTTGTAGGCTGGTTTTTTTTGTTTTATATTTAAATCAACTTATGAGTGAGTACATGTGAAAATTGTCTTTCTGGGTCTGGGTTACCTTATTCAATATGCTGTTTTCTAGATCCATCAATTTGCCTGCAAATTTCAAGATGTCATTATTTTTCTCTGCTGTGTAGTGCTCCATTGTGTTAATGTACCACATTTTCCTTATCCACTCTTTGATTGAGGGGCATTTAGGTTGTTTCCAGGTTCTGGCTATGACAAGTAATGTAGCTATGAATAGAGTTGAGCACACGTCTTTGTGGTACAATTGGGCATCATTTGGGTATATACCCAAAAGTAGTATTGCTGGGTCTTGAGGAAGGTTGTTTCCTAATTTTCTGAGAAATTTCCATACAGATATCCAAAGGGGCTATACCAGCTTGCATTCCCACCAGCAATGCAGAAGTGTTCCTTTCTCGCCACGGCCTCTCCAGCATAAGTTGTCATCAGTGTTTTTAATCTTGACCATTCGTCCTGGTGTCAGATGGAATCTCAGAGTTGTTTTGATTTTCATTTCTCTGATAATTAAGGATATTGAGCATTTCATCAAGTGTCTTTCAGCCATTTTAGATTCCTCTGTTGAGAGTTCTCTGTTTAGTCCTTTTCTCCATTTTTATTAGATTATTTGGGCCTTTTTTTTTGATGACCAATTTCTTGCATTTTTTGTATGTATAAAATAACACTCTACTCATACATACACATGTGAAACAAAACCACAGTGAAATAAACTTGAATTTGATATTGACAGTTCAAAGGAGTTGTGAGTAATCCTAGAGTTGGGGCAGTCTTAGTGATATTTTCATTGTATAAAGATTCTTCTGCTAGGATGCATAGATAGCATCCTTTAGACAAAACATCCAATGGATATGCTAGGATTTTTCTTGTGCAGTGAGCACATACTAACTGAGTGACTGAACCATCTCCTTAGTATCCTACATATAAACTAAGATGAGCTGCCTCCTTGGGTGCCCATAATGAACAGAGAATGATTGATTGGTTGTTGGCAAATAGTTAATATGAAAGTTTCTCTCTCTCTCTCTCTCTCTCTCTCTCTCTCTCTCTCTCTCTCTGAAGATATGAAGCCACCCACTCTTCTGCCAACCGAATTCCCAACAACAAGTTCCAGCTCTCAACATTTCAACTTGAACTTCACCATCACCAACCTACCCTATTCCCAAGACATAGCTGAGCCAGGCACCACCAAACACCAGCAAAACAAGAGAAGTATTGAATATGCGGTGAGAAACATGTTGCTTGTCCACTTCACCCCCAGGCAGAAGCTGACTGTTGACACTAGGTCAGTGGGTAATTTTTTAAAAATAAGAGTCCCAGAGAACACATTCTTATTCCCATTTATAAATTAGGAAGAACACAAGAGATCCATTAGCTAGCAAAGGGTGCTGCCGCTGTGCCGTACCCTGGAACAAGACATCCTATGTTGGGGCTTGCATTTGTCAATGAAAACCAAGTTCAGAAAGGATATTTAGTGACTGTTAAATTTCTTTGACAGTGGAACATGAGGTTCTGACATAGGAAACATTCCTCTCTCTTTCAGCTCAACCAGCTTTTCAGAAACAGCAGCATCAAGAGTTATTTTTCCGACTGTCAAGTTTTAGCCTTCAGGTAAATGCCAATTCAGTGCCCTGAGGACTTCTTGGTTTCACGCTCGTTATGTAACTGAATATGACCTTGAATTTCTGCTCTCACTACCTCCACCTCTGGTGTAGAATGCTGGGATTACAGCCCTGCACCATCAAATCTGGGAAATTACTAATGTGTAGAGTCTCTACAGTGTAACAGTACAGCCACAAGGAACCGTCATGGGACAGCACTCCCCTCTAGTGGTTTGGTCAGGAATAGCAGTGACAATATACATTCAAAAGCGGAGGAGGCAGATGCCTCAGTAAGTAAAATGGAGACCTGAGCGTGAATCCCTAGAATCCATCCAAAAACTTGGCATGGCCTCATGCACCTGTTACCCTAGAGCTGGACAGGGGAAGAGAAACTTAAAATAATTTCTGTTTCATAATTTCTTGGTTCCTATTTTAGGAAAGACAGCCTAAGGGATATAAAATTGTTGCCTACAAGCTAGCTTTTTAATAAAACAGGAAGTCCAACCATCTTAGAAACTTAACTGAGTTTGTGAAGCCAACCAGATATGATGGTGATTGGTAGGAGGGATCATAGAATCCAGAGAGTAGAACTACGGCAAATACACACCTGCATAAAATTGGCAATATTCGAACAAGCACACACACATACACACACACAAATAAACAATAAAAACATTTTTCAATAAGATCGCAGAATCTCGCCTAGGAGCCCATGGTACTGCAGACTCCATGTGATTATGATTCATTGTTGACGGCCTCTGCCAACTTTGTCCATTTAGCAAAGTAATTGCAGTGGGTTCACTCATGGGGGCTATGAGCTCCACAACTCTGGATTCTTGGTCAGATTTAAAGTACCAGGCATATGTTTCTTCCTGTAGAGCAAGCAGGTCTTAAATCCAATTGGAAAGCAATTGGTTACTCCTATACCATTTGTGCCATTATTGAACTCATGAGAAAGTCTTGCCAGACTGATCATAATTGTAGCTCCCAGGGTTAACAGCCAAGTAAGAGTGCTAGTGACCCCTGCCCCAGAATCCTGCATAGCATCTCCCAGTGCTGTGAAAGCTGACGATTAGGGATGAATCTTCCTGGTCAGTTTCAGCTTCACTTCTCATGTCCCATGAAAAAAAGTCTATGCTCCCTTCAGCAACAAGGTCTTCACCTGGCTTTATCTTGTGCAAGCTATTTATAGGCAAACAACAGCAGTTGTGACCTCATGAAGGCAATGACCCAGTTATATCTGGAAAACATATCTCACAGCCCTCCTCCCTGACCTCTGGCTTGTAAAATATTTCTGCCCCATTACACAATGATCACAGAACCTTCAGAAAAATATAATACAGAATACTCATTTAGGCCTAGCCACATTTCTAGTATAAAGTAGCAATATGATACAACTAATACCTGTATCTGAAAGTGCAGGTGCAGAATGTGGACATTGTTGGACAAAATTCTCTGAGAAAGAGAATAGCAATGGAGAATATATAATAAACGTAGAAGAAGAAGCACCCTTCTTCATCCTCTGTGCCTTTTCAGGTCTGTCTCCAACAGCAACCACACAGGGGTAGATTCCCTGTGTAACTTCTCACCATTGGCTCGGCGAGTGGACAGAATTGCTATCTATGAGGAATTCCTTCGGATGACACAGAATGGTACCCAGTTGCTGAATTTCACACTGGACAGGAAGAGTGTCCTTGTGGATGGTAAGGTTCCCTGGTCAGGGAAGGCAAGATGATATTCCCAGGCATGGGTTCTTAGCTAGATTTTTTTTTCAGGGAAAATTTATGATGTCTAATTGATTTTAAAATTTGAATTAAAATGCCCAATGAAGCAAGGGTGGTAAATGGCAATCATTTGTAAATACTATTTTAATTGGATAAAATAGTTAAATTTAAGCAGTGAATTATTACATTATTCTGTCTACTTTTCTTTATTTCTGTAAAGTTTTATTTAAATGAACAGCCAGGCATGATGATGAATGTCTTTAATCTAAGTTCTATGGAGGCAGAGGCAGGTAGATCTCTGTGAGATCAAGGTCAGCCTGGAAAAAAATGGTGAGTTCCAGGTCAGCTGGGGCATAATTAAATCCTGTCTCAAAAGAGCAAAAAAATTTAAAAAGGAGAAAGAAAAGAATGACTGAGGGTTTATCTCAGTGGTTTAAAACTATTCTCTCATGCCTAAGACCTTGTATTTATACCTAGCCTCAGATAGTAAAGAAGGCTTGCCAAACAATGTAGGGAACATGCCTTTATTCCCAGCACTCAGGAGGCAGAAGCAGGAGGATCTCTGACTTTGAGGCAGCCTAGTTTACAGAGTGAGTTCTAAGACAGCTAGGGACTACACAAAGAAACCCTGCCTTGAAAAAGTTCAAAATAAATAAGTAAATAAATAAATAAGACATGCTCATTCTGTTTTCTTTTATTTCCAGGGTATTCTTCAAACAGGGATGATGTGATAAAGAATTCTGGTAAGTTTCGGAGTCATCCATGCCTGGGGTATCATAAGGAGCACCTTCTCTGTAACATTGTCACCAAGTGTTGTGTTCAAAGGATCAAGATGAAAGAGGGTCAAACCATGGCAAGGACTGATGAGACCAAGTGGACAGACATTAAGGATTCCGTCATACTGGAAGCCCATACAGGAAGAAATGGGATGTGGGTTCATGTGAAATTGAATCACTAAGCTCTCTCCACAAGATTCATATCCATCCTCAGGCCACACAGGGCTCAGGAAGGATTGCCCGAGGGGCAATAGGAGATTCACTCCACTGTTTGTCTTCCCAGGTCTTCCCTTCTGGGCCATCATTCTCATCTGCTTGGCTGTACTACTGGTATTCATCACATGCCTGATGTGCTGTTTCCTGGTGAGCAAGGAAGTTTGTGGGGTTTCCTGTGTTCTCAATACTGCCTTATTAAGAACTTTTAAATAGGCATGACTCATATAGCACTTCCTTGGTCGAGGATGATCCTAGGATGTGATAATTATGTCACATCAATGACAATGTCCTCCAAAAATGATGCTGCCTAGTGTCATTGTAGCCATCTAAGCTTGTTTAAATACTGTCTATAATGTTTGCATAATAACACTGCATTCATAAAATAAGGCCCTAGAGTTATACAGTACAACTGTCTATTATACATAAACAAGTCCCTTGCTGGTGATATAATTTGTGAACCCTTTCTTCTAGATTATATGTGGCTGGTCACTTTAATCTCTCTTTTCTAATTTTACTGTACTGATATTTATTTATTTACTTTTATCCCAGGCGGGCTTCAAATTCACGAGGTAGCAAAAAAAGGATCTTGAGTTCAAAAACTCTCCCACCTCCCAGTTTCTACCTCCTAAGTGGTGGGATGATAAGTGTGTTTTACCATGCCTAGTACCTATTTTTTTCTATTTGGCAGATAATGTGTATTTGTATGATTTACAAAGTATTCATTAAATGACTAAACCAAGTAAATATCATCATATCCTTTTATGTGGTATGAATCTTACCCTGGATTTTTCTGAAATATATATTACATTAACTGTAGTCAGCATGCTCTATAATGGATCTTAAAGTTCTAACATTAGTCATTAGTGAAATGTACACAGTGATATAGCAAAATGAATAAAACAATAACTAGAAGGCTAATATCAGTAAGTGTTGGCGAAGATTTGAAGTAACAGGAACTCTTACTGAGAGCTAACAGAATGGAGGTTGATCATTTCTTTGAGAGTAATATATACTGGCCATAGGACACAACCATCCCAATCCTATTAATTTATGCAAGAAAAATGAACATGCCTTTCTACAAGAGCTGTACAAATTCAAGCCAGACAAAATTCCGGCACTGAAAAGGGGAGGGAGATACAAAGTTCCACCTTTAACCAAGAAGTTCTTTACAATTGATTGCTGGCAAAGGGACAAATGATTTTTCTTCAGTGGAGTGTCACTAGGCATATTCACCACACTCCAGAGCAGGCACCATGGGCAGGAGTAGTTAGCCAACACAAAATGAACTTCATTGGGATTTTTGGAGTGGAGGGATGGGAAATTTTTGTTTTGTTTTGGCACTCTTTTGTCTTATTGGATTTTCATTTTTATTTTTTTCTTGCTTTTTTTTTGAGAGAGAGAGAAAGCAAAAGATCACGAAGTCGATTGGGTTAGGGAGATGGAGAAGATCTGAGAGGAGTTAGGGGAGGGAAAACAATCAAAATATATCATATGAAAATGTCCTTTAGAAGACTCTAAAGAGAGACCACCTATCCAAAGACCTGTACATATGTACATGGGCATAATCACCTTGTTAGTCATAGCCAAACCAAAAAGAAAAGAAAAGAAAGAAGAGAGAATGAACTCAACCTGAAAGTTAAACAAGATCAGTTTCCATCAAGAGGTATAGTTCAACAATTGAATGCTATTCCATAATAAAAAAATAATGAATAGTTAACCTGTAGATACAGAAATCAGCCCTGATTTCTTGAGTCATGCAAACATAATTATGTTTGCAAATGGCAGGGAAGAAAGAATTATGATGAACAGACCACAGAGATAATGAATAGGTGCTTTTTCATCCCCTTTCTTAATGATGGTTTAGGGAGTTGTAATTAAAACTCATAATTTATTTCATTCTTTTTGAAACAGAATTTCACAATATAGCCCATGCTAACATTGAATTAAAAGTCTCCCTAATTCAACTTTCTAACTGCTAGGAGTAGATACACATACCACTATGCTTCGCTAAATAATTCCCTTTAAATATGTTGACTTTATTGCATGTGAGTTATTTCCCTTTTAAGCTAAAAGAATGACAGTGGGGAAGAAGCACAGAAATCAAGCTGAGAATGAGATAAGAAAACATTATTTAGAGAAAAATATAAATAGTAGATAAGTGCTGAATAGTTAGAAATATATATAGAGAGAGAGATGATAAATGGATGGTGGACAGATGCTGATAGAAGGCTACACAGATGTTTGAGAGTAGCTTTATAGATAATAGAGAATATATTATTAACACACGATAGATGAATCATAAATGATTGCAAGTTAATAGATAATATACAGAGGCAACTGATGTTGCAAGTAGAGACTAAATTATTGATGGATTACAGACAATTTTATACATGGCTGATAGCTAAGTGTTTAATTAATATTAATAAATTAATTCAGAAGGAAATATATGGGTGAATTAATGAGACTAGAAAGGGGAAAGGGTGTTTTAAAGGAGAAACCTAAACAGAAAAAGGAAGAAGAGTAATATAAGAAATATCACGGCTCTGGTTTTAGTCATGTTTTTATTCCTGATTTCTCCCCTACCCGGCTGGCTGGCTAATTCATTCTTATGACTTCTCCTGACTCTCACAGGTGACTGTCTGCAGAAGAAAAAAAGAGGGAGACTATCAGGTTCAACGTCACCGCCTTGGTTATTACCTGCCTCACCTAGACCTGAGGAAGCTCCCGTGACTCCACCTGCCAGCAGTACCTTTCCCCTAGCAGGGTCCAAAGAATAAATAAACCACATGGGTCAGATTCAGCACCTGTGACTTTCTTGATTTGATTCCTGAGGAGGTCCCTGGAGACAAGAGAGAAATGTTCCTCCTTTGTTAAGTCCTGGTGGAGACACTTTGTTGTCGCCTGTGGCCTCATGGTATCCCATTCTTCAAGCACAGCAGAATTTATCAAACTGTTGTATTAGTTACTTTTTGGCTGCTAAAACAAAATATCTGACAACAGCAACATAAAGAAAAAATTGCCAGGTTCTGTTGATTCCCTATGGACGATCTTACCCTTTGGCAGGAGTGGGTGGGGAATGGGATGAGATGGGGGCAAGAGAGAGTGGGGGGATGGGAAGGAGGGGGAACTGTGGCTGGTTTGTAAAATGAATAAAAAAAGTAAAATAAATGAGGACTTAGTTTGGCTTACAGTTCCAGTGGAACACAGTCAGTTATGGTGGAGATATGGTGGTGGCCAGAGCAGGCACCAAGCTAGTTATATTACACAGGCAGTTAAGGAACAGAAAACAGGAAGCAGGGCCACACTATGACATCTCAAAGCTCATCACCCTATAAACCTCTTTTTCCAGCAAGGCTCCATTTCACAACTTTCCCACAACCACCCCAGTGTCAGCAGCTGGAGAGAACAAGTGATTAAATATGTGAGACTCTAAGGAAGAAGATCTACTTTCAAACCATACCAGTATAGAAATTGTCATGATGTGAAATGAACACACCCCTTCAATGTGGTGTGCACACTCCTAGTCACACACTGAATGCCTTCCCTTGACTCCAGTGACAGTCATCACACTGATGTGTGTTTCTCCAATTCCTCAACCCCATGAAGGTCTGGCCATCTCAAATTTCTCTTAAATTCTCTGCCCTGTGTGGAAAGTTTTAGTAAATAAATAAATTAATTTAAAAAAAAACTTAAATTCTCTGAACTCTTCTGCCATAGGATTTCCACCCAAACCCTCTTGGGTCATTTCCCTCTCCCCTTCTGGATCATCCCAAACGGGAAGTAGGTAAAGGAATGAGTGACTGGGTCAGAAATGACTCCAAAACCAGAGTTAGAACTTGGAATCTGACAGCATTATGGAAAACTAAAATGGAGGAGGACAATAGGAAAAGTCAAGCCATTTAAATTTTCTTTTATCTTCTTGTGCTCTGACCATAAGTAAGCAGTATAGACTAGCTTCACAACTGTCCTGCTTTGAATTTTCTGGAATACACTGTATGTTCTCTACATACTTCTTAGAAATTACATCTATATAATTTATGGATGTGTCTGTTTATCTGTGTGTGTCATGCCAGGTACCTGCAGAGGCCAGAAGAGTGTTGGATACCCCAGGAGGGGAGTCACAAAGTCCTGCGAGCCACCAGATGTGGATGATGGAGATTGAGTTTGGGTCTTCAGAAGAGTAGTATACACTCTTAACCTGGCCTCTACACATCTGGAAAATCATAAGTGATGACAGTCAATGGCTAAGAATCAAAATGACAAAACTGGAAACTTCCTTTGGTGTTAGTCTGGCACCCTCAGTCTACTTAAGCAGTCTTTCTTTGAGAATACACTCAAAAACACGATGGTTCAAATTCTTATTGATTACTGTTATACTTATTACAGTTATGCATTAATTAACAACTTCCCAAACAACCATAATTTAATCTTATCTGGACTTATATTTAATCTTATAAAACTTATATAGATGTGATTTTTATTGTGAAATTAACATCACAGTAGGTGATAAAATTTAGCACATGTTAAACACAACAGATGACAAACTCTGTATATGTTATTTTTGTTATATTCCTGCTGTGGTATAAGTGTCCCTTCCTTCCAAAATCTGTATGTTAGAAATGCAATCCCCGGTTGTTCTGTAGTTAGTTTCTCTAACTAAAACATTACCTTTAGTTTGAGGGAGCTTCCTAATCCTTAAGAAGTTGGTGGTGGAAAGATAGCCCACAGTTAAGAGCACATATTGCTCATCTGTTCTCTTCCCAGTACCCACATTGGGCGGCTCACAAACCACCTGTAATTCCAGACACCCTCTTCTAACCTTTGAAAGCACCTGCTTGCACATATATGTGCACACATATACAGACACACAAACACATAAATAAAAGTTAATCTTTATTTTAAAAAATGAAGTTGGTGACAGGGAAAGAAAGTTACAAGATTCACTGGGCCTATCTCCAAGGATAAAACACAGTAAACAATTGCTGGCCACAGGAGAATACCCATGTAACTGCCTTCAGATTCTGCAGGGATCCTCAAGGCTACAGCTGTCTTGAATAGTAGTCCCCCATCCTGGGGTAGACACTTCTGTGATCAGCTACGTTTACCTGTAAGCAACTCCAGTGGTTCACCAACTAGACTTAGGTGGTTTTGTTTCTTTGGTCTCTCAGGGATGAGTGTTTTTATTTTCAGGTTTTGCCCCCAAAACTCACAGAGCACCAAGGCAATAGTTTTGAAAGTTGAGAATAATAAGTGTTCTGATCATGTAGGATCTCTCTATCACCACAAATGGAATCAAATTGCTATTGACAAAGATCTTGTGGGCATTGGTTCTTCTGCCTCCTTTGATTCCAAAAAGGTACTTACCATTTTTCCTCCTTTGTTCTTCTACCTTCTACCAGAGAAGGATGACCCAAGAAGCTACACCTCAGAAGCCACTACTTTGATATTGGAATGCCCAACCACCAAAATTGTAAGAGAATAAATTATTAGTTGAGTGGTCTGTGGCTTTGTGTTATAGCAGCATCCCATGGACATAGACAAAGACACCGTCCTCAATGGTTTTATTTACACATAATAGCTAAAGGAATGGAGACTCAAAGACATGATCTAGCTAGAGCAGGAAGAAAAAGAATTACTTAAACTCAAGGTACTGATCTAGACAAACTATCAGAAGAAATAGAGGCAGGTGTAGCAGCACACACATGTAATCCCAGCAGGTAAAAGCTCTTACTCTTAAACTTGAAATCCTGAGTTGATTCCTGGGATTTTCATAGTGGAATGAGTTAACCAATTACCCCAAGCAATTCTCTGACTGTTTCATGGGTACCTGGCACCACATGCATGTGCATATACACACTCACACACACACACACACACAAAATGTAATAAAAGTTATCTCGAAAACAGACATAAAACTTAAAATGTTACTTAAATGAATACTGAAACATTGTATAAATCCAATATATTGTGGCTGGGCAGCTTTAGCTTATACCTGTTTATTATAACTATATATAGTCTATATCTATTATCTATATACATGCATACATACATATAATACATACATACAGGGGGAGAGAAAGGAGGTTAGTTAAAATGGCTCACAGGCTGAGATCCAGTTAGTATACAATGGCTGTCTATTAATGGAAGGCCCAAGAATTCAGTACTTGTTCAGTCTACAAGGCTGGACATCTCAGCTGGTCTTCAGTATATGTCAGAATCCTGAAGAAATGAGCTCTAATGCCAGCGAAGGAATGGAATTGATAGTGAAAGCAAGGACAAGCAAAGAGAGAAGCAAACTTCCTTCTTCCAAGTCTTTTCAAGGGCTGCCAGCAGAAAGTGTGGCCCACATTAAAGGTTGATTTTCTGACTTCAGAAAATCTGGATTAAAGGTGTATCTTCCCAGAGATCCAGAATAAAAGTGGGTTTTCCCTCCAAATGACTTAAGAAAAAAATCCCTCAGAGATGAGCCCAGCCTTTTGTGTTTTAGCTAATTCCATATGTGATCAAATTAACAGCCAAGAATAAGCCATCACAATCTGTAAGGACAAGGCACTACAGAATTCTGTGGTGCCCCCTGTAGATCTATAGTCGATGCTTGTAACTCTGACCCCACATACACATATCCACCTCCTCAGTTGCTGGGCATATAAAAGCTATGTCAGCAGGTCTGGCAAATGCTCTTGTGCACTCTAAAGATTTGTCACTTGTATTAGTTTAATACAAGTGCATTAGTTTACAAACGTATTAGTAATACAAGTAATACACTTGTATTAGTTTAATACACGGATTATCCATTAGCAGGCAAGAAGTATAGGTGGGACGACCAGACTAAGAAAATTCTGGGAAGAGGAAAGGAAGAGATGCAGTCTTCAGTCAGACACAGAGGAAACAAGATGAGAATATCTCATTGATTAAAAGTACTAAGCCATGCAACTAAACATAGACAATAATTATGGATTAATTTAAGTTGTAAGAGTCAGTTAATAAACCTGAGCTAATAGGCCAAACAATTTACAATTAACATAAGCTTCTGTGTGTTTCTTTGGGACTGAATGGCTGCAGGACTGGGTGGGACAGAAACTTCTGTCCACACATACAAAATAACTTCTGTTGACCTTAAGCAAAATAAGATTGACATAAAAAGAAATATGCAAACTGGCGGAATAGTCTAGTAGGTAAATGAAGCCCAATTAATAAAGACTCAGAAAGAAAAATTGTGGTTCAACCTGAAGACCCAAAAAGCAAAACAGTCAGCCACTGGCTCTTTCCTTGACCTCAGTCTAAAATGGTCATCCTGCCTCCAGAAATCTCAGAATGGGACTGTGTCTGCAAGCTGTCCATCCTGTGTTATAATCCTCTCTAGGTCTGGGATTAAAGGCATACACCACTGGGATTAAAGGCATGCATCACCAGTTTCTATGGCAACTAGTGTGGTTACTGGGATTAAAGGTGTGTGCTACCCCTACCTGGTTGTAAGGTTGACAAGTGTTTTCCTAATCCCCAGGCAAGCTTTATTTATTAAAATACAATTGAAATGCCACTACAGGTAAATGCTTTCTGGGAAGACATGGAGTTTAAACTCCACAAGCTAGACACAGTGGCATGTATCTAAAATCCCAGCACTCCTGGGATAAGACAGGGACAAGAGACTCCGTGGAAGCTCATGGGCTTGAAATCCTGCCTCAAATAAGGTGAGAGGTGAGGATCAATGCGTGAATTTGTCCTCTGACTTGTTCTGTGGCATACAACTAACACACACACACACACACACACACACACACACACAGTGGGAGGTGATTGACTTCATGGTTTAGCTATATGTAGTCTTTGGAAAGACAGATATAGGAAAACAGGTAATAGAATGATTGTGACTGTGGGCAGGAGTGAACATGGACAGATGCAGATTAGTGAGCACAAAACTGAAGTTATGTAGAAAAACTATGTCCAGAGCTCTAAAGTGCAGTATAGGATTCCAGTCAGTAACACCATGCTATATAATTGAAATTGACTAAGCCAGATGCTGGGTGTCAGTACTACCCATAAGATCGTTAACTTTGAGAAATAGCGTGAGGTAATCATCTGCATTGTCAACTTGACTGGCTCCAGAGTTACCTAGAAGACACAGTTCTGGACATATCTGTGAGACTATTTTCAGAATTTAATTGGGGAAAGGAGATCCATCCTAAACATGAGTGGTACCATCTAATGGCCTGACATCTCAGACTGAATAAGAAGAAAATAAATAGGAGGAAATTAATAGAAACCCAACATTGTCTATCTGTTTCCGGACTGTAAATACAATGTGAGAAGCTGTCTCATATTCCTGCTGCCAAGGCTTCTGACTTCATAGTTAGCCCCCTCAAACTATGAAGCAAACTAACCTCTTTTCTCAAGTTGACTTAACATGTATTTCATTAGTAATTAGAAAAGCAATACAAGATAGCTGTTAATTTGTAAAAGTCATCTTACTATATAGGCACATCAAAACACTGTATCATATACCTTTACACAGATAAGTGTAGTCCTCCCTGCATCAAGGAACTTTTCTTTTACAGCAGACACACACCATTACAGAAAACCACAACCAATCAAAATGCAGAGTTGTGACTTCAGTCCCAATGGATACACATATAACGTAACCCCTGAACCTAAGGTTTAGGGATCATTGCTAAGAAGGGACAAAAAGACTGTAAAGGCAAAAAAGAGGGATTACTGTGAGACTGTGCATTCTGAGAATGTCAGAAGGCAAAAATATTTTTTAAACACTACTAATGAAATGCAAGACTATTAGGTATCTAGTAAATGATGGCTTAGAAGTTAAGAGTACTTTATGTTCTTCCAGAGGACCTGGGTTTGTTTCCCAGAACCTGTATGGCAGAGCCCAACTGTCTATAACTCAAGTTCCAGGGGAACCAATATCCTTTTTTGGCCTCCATGGACACCAGCCCTGCATACTGTTCACAGACATACATGTAGGTAAAACACTCATGCACATAAACTTTTTTTTTAAAAATGGTGAGTAAATATAGGAGTATAAAGAACTTAGAAAAATGTTTTCTCATCTCAATTCTCATCTCAAAAATAATTACTGGGGATAGAGATTTGGTTCAATATTTAAGATCATTTAAAACTCTCACAGTGGGCCCAAGTTTGGTTCCAAACACCAGTGCATGATGGCTTACAAATGCCTATAGCTACGATTCCAGGGAATACAAAACCTTCTAGTCACTTCATGTGCACATAGTAATACATAGACACACATAATTAAAAATAATTTGCTATGTATATGCTTTCATCTATGTCTATGTATTGTGTGTATACCTAGTGTCTGTGGAGATCAAAAGAGAGCAATGGATCCCCTTGGAACTGAAATTATAGATAGTTGTAATCTCCTATGTAGATGTGGGGGAGTTATATCTGGCCAGTGAACTTCATCACAGAGCCATCTCTCCAGCCCCCAAAATGATTTTAAAAAATAATAATTACTGGCTGGGTGATGTAGGTCTATGGTAGAGTATTCACCTCGTATGAGTAGAAAGTTGGGTTTTACCTTCAATACAGAGAAAGAGGTGGGTAGATTAAGAGAAAAATAATAATTATCATTTATATATTTTTCATTGAACAAAGAATTTTATTGAAGTGTTGTTAAGTTTAAAGTTTCAACTCTCAAAACAACAAAAGACACTGCAAAGAAGTATTAAAACAATTCTGCATTCCATCTGCAGTATCTTCTCCCCAGCTTCCCCTCCCTGTATTTATAAGGTTGTCTTCTTTGACCCCCTCACTTTCTCTGCCTCGTTTGCTAGCCTGTGTGCAATCATGGCAACTGCCAGTCTTTCTCTTGCTCGTTTCACTTTCTTTTCCTGTTTGCTAATATCTTCTTCAGTGACGAGAAATTGATTGTAAAGGCTCTGTGGGATACCTGCTTCTGGAATCATGTCTGCCAAATGTGAAGATGACTCATGGGTGGACCTACAGTCAACACTGTTGGCTTGAGTCTCTGAAACAGACGCATCTGTGCCTCCAGGTCTAAGATCTTGCAAAGCTTTGGCAAGATCTGAGGTGCTCAAAAGTTCTCCTGCACTGCTGTAGGCCTGGAGTCCTTGTAGTCTCTTCTGCCAGCAGGCTTGTTGGGGCTTGACCAAGGTCTCCTCCCACTGATGATATCTTACCTCATTGCCCACATGGGATGTGACTCTAGTGACTGGCCTCTTGAATGTGTAATTGGACATCCTCAAGGGGATTGAGGCGTGTAAACAAGGCTTTGGCTTTGATAGGTTTTCCCAGTCACACTGCTTCCTCTGTGAAGTCTTGCCCATCTGACTCCTTTCTTAACCCTATAAGCATAAGTCATAAAATTGGATACATTTAATGAAGGCTGTCTCCTTGTATTATCCATGTGACACTTACCAATTATAAATGTTGCTTTTAACTTCCACCTTCCCTCTCTCCCTCTGGTAATAAGTTTGGAACATCATTGAACAGAGCTAAGTTGAGCACAAAAAGCTCAAAATCTAAATTCTCCAAACACTTGGCAAAACTCCCTCCTTGCTTGAGTGTACTTTTCTTCTTTCTGAATGCACAGCCAACTGCTTAAGACCTCACATTCCCTCTCATGATACACAGCCCCCAGTCTTCCTCTAAGTCTCAATTCTGCCATTCTTCTGTGTTGTTTGATGATGGATTTGTTATGAACCACTTGATTTTCATAGCCTCTTTAACATTTACATAAACAGTGAAATTAGATCCTAAGAGCCCAAGGTCGTGAAAGAATGCTATAGAAGAGCATTTCCTGGGCACAACAGGGTCACTGCAATCAAAAACTCACAGACACTCTAATTACTTGGCACAAAACATGTACAAGGTCAGGCCAGCCAACATTCCAACACAGCTATAGTAGAAGCTCAGGGCACTGATGGCTGCCGAGGGAAGAACAATGAGTTTTCTTCAGGTATGTGGCCTCTGATGGGTTGCTCCAGTGGATGGCCCTATATCCATGCACATACTGGAAGAACTAATAGCTTTCAGTCAGTTGAAAAAGGACATGGAGTTGGAAGGGAGAAGTGATAAGGATATTTGGGTGAAGCTGGGGGTAAAATGGAGCATGATATGATTGATACATTTCATGCATGTATGAAACTTTCAAAGAATAAATATGTATTTTTAAAAATTAAGAGCAAAACTACCAATAATATCACTACAAAACCTGAGACATTAATCAACCCAAAAGTCATGTTCAAAATAAGTAATTTAGAAAACCTATTCACAGCAGAGCAGAAAAAAAAGAAAGAAGTACAGATGGATGGAAGGAAAAAAGGAAGGAAAGAAAGAAAGAAATGTATTCACTCATTAGCAGATTTTAATTTCTAGTGGGCTTTGCTAGATTTTATGTAACAGATAGTACATGGAACATAAATATTTCTCAAAAACAAAATTGACTCTGGAATACTTAGCTCCCGTATTTATTTACTAATTTTTATTCACGTACATTAACTACACAAAGGGGTATCACTGGAGCATTTTCATATTCACAAAGAATGTGCTTTGATCATCGCCACCACTGCTATTGTTCTTTAGTATTTAGCAGCCTTTTCTCCCTCCTCTTCCCACTTCCTTTCTACACCTCTCATGTTTCCCCTTTCGTGTTATATTCTTCTTATTTAAAACACACCTCCCATGTTGAGGTGACTCTGAAGGTAAGGGGCCTTGTTGGTGAACCCGATAACCTGAGCACCGGCTCTCATGAGCTGTCCTTTGACCCCCCCACATGCTTGGTATGGCAAATATATGCACACACTCCCCATACTGAAAAGAACACAAATATCAAAACTGCTCTAAATAGTTTCCACATGAGAGGAAACATGGTATTTGTCTTTTCTTTTGGATGTGTATGTGTAAAATGTGTGTGCTTACATCTTTGCATGTGGGTGCACAAGGTCATGTGTGCCTGTGGGGGCTGGAAGTTGATTTATTTATTTATTAAGGCAGATTCTCTCTTTGAACCAATGGAAGACCAATTCTGGGTAGTCTATCTAGCCAGCTTGACACTGAGATTCATTATTTCTGCCTCTTCAGTGATGGAATTACAGGTAGCCACCACATTTGCCTGTTTGGTATTTTTGTTTGGTTTGGTTTGGTTTGGGTTTTTTCAATGTATTTTATCTTTGAAATTATATTACATCATTTCTCCCTTCCCTTTCCTCCCACTAGGCCCGCATATACCTCTCCTCTCTTTTAATGAAAAAAAAAAACATTTTTCATTAAAATATACATATATTCCTAAATGTTGGCTCAATCTTTTTTGGTTTTTTTTTTGCAATAAAAATACATTTATTCAATTGCCTGCCTTCCCTCCCCATTCCAGTCCTTTTCAAACTATAATTTGACTCTAAGTTATTTTCTATTGATTAGTGATGTTGGCTCGAATTTTATGTGGGTTCTGGGGATTCAAACTCCAATTCTCATAATTGCACAGCAAAGCCATCTACCCAGCCTGGTATTTATCTTCCCAAGCCTGGTTTATTTCACTGAAAATAATGGGTGGTCTCTAGTTCTATCCACTGTCCTGTAATTGGCACACTTTCATTCTATTTTATGACTGAGTAACAGTCCGTTGTGTAGGGGCTGACTATAGAGCTCAGTTGGCATGCCTAGCATGCACAAGAACATAGGTTTGATCTCCATAAAACGAAGTGTGGTGATGCAGATTGGTAATGATAGCACCTGGGATATGGAAGAAGGAAAATGAAAAACTTTAAGGGCTTCCTCAGTTACACAGTTTGACACCAGCCTGGGCTATATGAGACCCTGTCTCAAAAATAAAAAATTCAGTTGTCTAAATATGCCACATTTTCTTTATCCATTCATATGATTATGAGCATCTGGACAGATTCTACAATTTGACTTCTTTGGAAATTGTTCTTTTAGATTAACATACAAGGTACAAACATTTACAGGAGAGTATGCTCCTGTAGTACATATATACACCGTGTTAGGATTAAATCAAGCATTTAACCATCTCAGCATTTACCATTTCTATGTTGGGAAGCTTCAGATTTCTCTTTCCTAAGTTCTTCAAAATATTTATGAAATATTGTGAATTATAGTCACAATATTAATATAGAATATAAAAGAATTCTGCTATAGAATATAAGAACTGATTCTTCTAGTGTAACTTTTGTACCCATTATCCAAGCTCCTTCTTCCTGATCCCATGTCAATACTCAATTTTACAGTCTGTGATCTCAATAATTCCATTGGTATTACTGAAAAATTCTTTTCATTTTATCTTACATACCTTGTAAAACTTCAACTTAGGAAGAATATTATCATTACCATGCCATAGCTATTGCTGGTCTTATGATACCTGATGAAAAAACACACAACATACTATTTTGGTGCAACAATAAATATAAAAATTTGACATTAACATGGCAAAAGGTGTTAGTCTATCAAGTCACTGAATTTACCTTAAACCTGTTTGATACGTTATGAATTTTTACTTTTTGTCATTTCCACTTGTAATTTCTCTTTCTGCTGCTGTGATAAAATACTCTGGTAAAAACAATGGATAGGAAAGAGTTCCTATTATAGCCCATCACTGCCAGGAAGTCAAGGCAGATGTTTACATCCACAGTCAAGAGCAGAGGAATCAAGCCCTCACCCTCCTACATACTCAAGTTCCCTTACAATTTCCCCAGTACTGCATGGGGAAACTGACTAAGGTGAAGCTGTAGGGGTCTAGTTGACAAACTTACACATATCTTAGGCTGTGTGTACACTTCTTCCAATCATACTAATATTTCCTTTATTTTCCAGTCTGAAATTTTCCCCATCTTCCTGTTTTGTAACCTCATGCCCTCAATATACCAAGAAGTACCTCAATCTTCAATGTCTTTTTCTAGAGAATTCGTCCTTTGGAATTTAATCATGTTTACATTTCTCTGAACTACACAGAAATCCTTTGTCTAATCTTTTCTGTCCTTTCCTTTTACCACAAACTTCTCAAGAAGGGACATCTATATTATGTTTTTTTTTTTCCCAGAACATCTTACCTCCAACCAGCTCCTTAGACTGCTCGGAACTTTCATGTGCTGTCATCATTCTATGACCCTTTCCCTTGAAAAAGTCACAATGACCCCTTGTTATTAGATCCAAAAGGAAATTTTTCACATACTCTTTAAGTGGAAAGCATTTTTGAGACATATTTGTTACAAGGAGTTGCTTGTTCATCCTGGCTGCCTGGCTAGCTTAGCCCCAAAATAACCACACAGAAACTGTATTAATTAAATCACTGCTTGGCCCATTAGCTCTAGTTTCTTATTGGCTAATTCTTACATTTTAATATAACACATTTCTATTAATCTGTGTATTGCCACATGGCATTGGCTTACCAGGTAAAATTTCCAGCATCTGTCCCCAGCAGATCTCTCTGACTCTGCCCTTCTTTCTCCCTGCATTCATTTCTGTCTTCCCTGCCTACATAAGTTCTGCCCTATCAACCAGCCCAAAGTAGTTTCTTTATTAACCAATGAAAGCAACACAAAGACAGAGGATCTCCTACACCATTTCCCCTTTTCTGTTTAAACAAAAAGGAAGGCTTTGACTTTAACATAGTAAAATTACAAATAACAAAAGTTATCAAGCAAGAATTACAGTTACAATATTTATATATACTTTATCTTTTATCACAACAAAGGAAAACTATAACTATAAATTCTTCAACTCCATCATAGACTCCAGAAAAATATAATATTACCTAAGTAAACAGGAAGTGCATTGCAAGCAACTTCCAAAAATCTAGAAATGACAGAGACATCTTGCTACCTGGACAGTCACCTAAAGTTTTTCTGTACCATTGGGGCATCCATCTTCAGCTTATAGGCCCATAGTGTCCAGAAGATTTTTCCATGAAGCAGGAAATTTCAAAGACAGGACTGCCTATACTGGCAGTTTGCCAGTTACTTTCTTCTGTATCCTGCAGAATGTCTCACAGACTCTTTCATGAAGCAGGAACCCCGAAGGATCATCTCACCTTTAGCCAAGTTCAGCAGTCATTTCTCTTTGGGTTCTGCATGTCCAGTTTTTACAGCATACCATGAAGCAGTCCATGAAGCAGGCAAGAGCAGTTTCTTGCCCAATGGCTAACCAGCTCTGTAAGGAGTCTCTTCAATGCCCACCATCCTCTTGAAGTAGCTTGGTCTTACCAGGAGAAGATGTGTCTCATTGTCATGAAAAGTCCTAAGTTATTAAAACATTTAAATGCCATATTCTGAAGGTCTCTGAAAGATTTGAAGAATATCTATCTAACTGAAATATATCTCTATACATCTAGTAAATCTAAAAAGCATGACTATAAGCTTGACTATTATAAATGACAATTAACCTGTATTTCTTGATTAATTATACATTACAATTTTAATCAAAAGCAGAAATATACTTTAAAAAATTAACCTTAAATTTGTATCAATAAACCAAGATCTATACCAAAGCAAATTATTTATCTTTATAGCACATAAATAACTATGAACAATATTTGGAAATATAGACATAGTTTTGTCCAAACTGCTTCCTGCTGTTTGGGGGTCCTGTTATTTCATGGTGTATCTTGTATGCTAGGATCATCTCAGTCAGCAGTTGGGCAAAGTAATTTTTTGAGGGTGTTTACAACAATCTATCAGGAGGCCTTGGTCCATGAAACCATATTTGCCTGGAAGGAATCCACAGGTTCTCATCTTCTGTGAAAACAAAAGAAGAACCTCTTTTCCCAAGCAACATGTTTGTAGACCCAAATTCTGAAGTCAAGATACCTTTATAATATACATGCTGGTTTAGCTTAGCAGCCCATACAATAAAATGTTTCACTGTACTTAGCTCCTTCACAGTCAAAAAATTCAAAGAAAACACAATAATATACATAATCCAGACTCTCTGTGAATTTCCATTTTTATGTGGCTTATTTTCTTTACTCCTTTTAATCTATGACTATTTATACTGTCTCTTTAAAGACTTTAAACACCCCCTTTTTAAAGCATTAACTTTATTTTATGACTCTCTATACTCTTTTTCTTCTCTCTACCAAGCCTACGTACATTTATTCAACACTGTGACCCATTTATAGGTCTTTTAATGTCTGAATCTGTTCTATTGTGAATCTGTACTTCTTTTCTGATCAGAAGCATTTCTTAAAATGCTATACAGCTTGGTTTCAGTGACCCTGGGTGCTGGATCCACCTCTCTCAGGATTTAAACATGGTGGAGGTAGTTCACTTCAGCTCTAGGACCACCAGGTGGGAGCCATCCTTACCACCTAAGCTCTGGGTAGCACCATGCAGCACATAAACCCTTATTTCTGAGTAAAAGCTAAGTCTGCCATGCAGCACACTTCATGGCCTGGAAATATCTCTGTGTATGGCAGTAGGAATCTGCCATGCTCTCCTGCTTATGCACACCAAGTAGATCTGATCCCATCACCTGCCCCGGCAGGGAGCACTGAGCCCAGGCATGGTCTCAGCAACTTTCCTCCCAACCTTGAGTGGGCACACAAATACCCAGGTCCACATAGCTGGAGTTTGTACTGGTGACATGGCCCAAGGAGCTGCATTTTAAAACAGCATGGCTTTTTTCTGCTGCTGCTGAGTCAAGAAAACCTCTCTTAAAGGAGCTGCAGCATGCAGCCAGCAAACAGCAAGCTGTGTTAAACTCTCTATTTTTTTTCATTTATAATTCCTTTTTAGCCCTCTCAGGTTTTACATGGATTTAGTTGGCCATGTGGGCACCAATTGTTGCAAGGAGCCACTTGTTCGTTTTGGCTGCCTGGCTAGCTTAGCCCCAAAATAACCACATAGAAACTGTATTAATTAAATCACTGCTTGGCCCATTAGCTCTAGTTTCTTATTGGCTATTTCTTATATCTTAATTTAAACCATTTCTATTAATCTGTGTATTGCCACATGGCAGTGGCTTAGTGGATAAAATTCTCAGTGTCTGTTTCCAGCAGATCCATGGCATCTCTCTGACTCCGCCCTTCTTTCTCCCAGCATTCAGTTCTGTCTTCCTTGCCTACCTAAATTTTACCCTTTCAACTGGCCCAAAGCAGTTTCTTCATTAACCAATGAAAGCAACACAAAGACAGAAGGACCTCCTACACCACATGTTCTGGCTCCACATAATCCTTGTTAGTCTTCAACTTGCTGTATAGAGGCTGTATAGAATCCTCCCTCCTATCTCAGCCTTAACCTCTCAAATGAATTATCATACCTAGCATAGTTAGAATTAATATGAATATAGAGAATGTACATCTGATACAATTTACCCCATACATTGACATGTGCTATTAACAAAAATATGAACTTAATTTCTAGAATATATATTTTTTAAAAAATGTAAATAATTATAGAAACAATAATGGCTATATATAAAAACTTGATTGGCTTTTATATTTTCAAGATAAACAAATGATGTCTTTGAGATTAGTTTATTTACCCTGATTTCAACATATTACAATGCACACACATTCTAAGACATCACAGGGTTGCATGGCACCTGCTATGGCTTGAATCTGAACTGTCCCCCACAGGCTTATATTTTGAATTCTCAGTTCCCAGTTTATAACAGTATTTTGAAGGCATAGAGACTTTAGCAGGAGGGTCCTTACTAGCAGAAGAAAATCACGAGGAGCAGACAATATGAATATTATAACTATCTCTGGTTCCAGATCAGCTGTCTCTGCTTCCTAGTCTGCCCACATGCATAAAATTGCTGTCTCCCAATCCCAAAGCCAGAGTCCTATCAGGATAGATGGTAATGTTCTGAACCTGTGTTGTAGTAAGGTGCTTTAAACTCTTTGGCTCTTTTCGGGGGGAGGGGAATGCCACCCAGCTCCCAACTGAGTCACATGGAAGCTTATTCTTAGGTGAAAATGCTCAGCCTTAGCTTGACTTGTTGCTTGCCAGCTTTTACTTAAAAGTTATCTTGTCTACCTTTTGCCTATGGATTTTTCCCATTTTCTTACTTCTGTAAATCGTACTCTTGCCCTGTGGATTGCTGTGTAGCTGGATGGCTGGCCCCTGATGTCCTCCTTCTTCTCTGGCTACTCCTCCCTTTGTTCCAAGATTTTCTCTACATGTTCTCTCTGCCTGACAGCCCAGCCTATCTTTTTCCTGCCTCGCTATTGACTGTTCAGATCTTTATTAGACCATCAGGTGTTCTAGACAGGCACAGCACAGCTTTACAGACTTAAAACAAGTGTGACATAAACAAAAATAATACCTTAATATAATATTCCCCAACAAACTGTAGCTAAATAAACTTTCCCTGCCTTAAATCATCTCTATATTTTAATCTGAGTGATGCAAAATTAATACATTATTCTATAAATATGCAAAATTTGTTGTTATATTAGCTAAAACAAATTCTACATAAAATAGTATTAATTTTGGACCATAGTATATAATAACTTTTATGTCTACATAATGCTTCAGGTTATTGATCAATTTTATCATTCTAATTGTATTTATTTATTTATTTATTTATTTATTCATTAAAGATTTCTGTCTCTTCCCCACCACCGCCTCCCATTTCCCTCCCCCTCCCCCAATCAAGTCCCCCTCCCTCGTCAGCCCAAAGAGCAATTAGGGTTCCCTGCCCTGTGGGAAGTCCAAGGACCACCCACCTCCATCCAGGTCTAGTAAGGTGAGCATCCAAACTGCCTAGGCTTGTCTTTTTATATTTTTGAGAAATAATTAAATATATTTGTGAAATACAATGTGATGGCTTGATGTATTTTCTGACATGAAATTCTAGTCCTTGTTTTAATTCCTACAGTTTATATAGTTCCCCAGTTTTGACGGTAATTCTCCCTCTGGTAACAAAATGGATACAGAGTACAGAAACAAGGGCAAAAACTGGGGTTTTCTACAAGAACGGAAATAATTGGGCAATATAACTGGGGGCCGGTGAGAGACAGAACACAGATGAGAGAAACAAACGAGAAGGGAGGAAAGAGGAGCAAAGAGAGAGCAGACAGTCACTGAGAAATAAATAACAGAAAGAAGAAATGAAGACAAAAATTGTCAATGGAATGGGAGGAAAGAAGATGGAGACTGAGGAAGAGGAGATGGAGGCGGAAGAGGAACAAGGAGAGTAGGAAGAGGAGGTGGAGGAAGAGGAACAAGGAGAGTAGGAAGAGGAGGTGGAGGAAGAGGAACAAGGAGAGTAGGAAGAGGAGGTGGAGGAAGAGGAACAAGGAGAGTAGGAAGAGGAGGTGGAGGAAGAGGAACAAGGAGAGTAGGAAGAGGAGGTGGAGGAAGAGGAACAAGGAGAGTAGGAAGAGGAGGTGGAGGAAGAGAAAGGACATTCATAAACAGAGAAAGAAAACAATGCAATCTCAGAGTAGCTACAGATTATATTTTTGCATTAAAAATATCATAAGACCTACAAAACATAAAATATACTGTCTGACCCATCCTTCAGTGTCTAGCCCAGCGGTATTACTCTCTTCATGTAGTTGTGTAACCATCACCACCATTCATCTCAAGAACTGTCATTTCAGAAACAGGAAACTCTTTTCCTACTGCACACTAACTCTTTATCCCTCTTCCCAGGCTAGGGCATCCACCCTCCTACTTCTACTTCTATAAATTTGGCTGTATTAGTGAGGGCTGTAGGTAGAAACAGATAGCATTTATCCTTTACCACTGGAATACCTTCCTCAACAAAATGTTTCGTTCATGTTGTACTGTATGTCAGAATTCCCTTGCTGTTTACGGCTGATTCCTATTCCAGCTACACATAATTTTACACTGTACAGTGTGAAACTGCTGGCAACTCATGGCCCACGTTGGTCCCTGCAAGGGCCTCCACTGAAAGCTGCTGATCACTTGCAGAGTATCTCCTAGCACACAGATGATTGCAGTACACATGGAAGGAAGAACAGAACTCCATCTGTGCCTGGAAACTGAAGTCAACATCCTGCCTCCAGTCAGCCCTGCTGCCCACACTCAGCATTCTGGTTCTTGCCTTCATCCCTGGGAATAGAATTTATTTCTTCTCCCCCAGTTCAGTCTTCTCTGTACCCACTGTCTCCTGAGAAAGGACACACAGGGAAAGAAGGGCTGGCCAGTGAATTCTTGACAAACTTGAAACAGGTGAGTCAGATCTTCATTTTTGACAAGTCATTCCTTTCATAAAACTTTATTACTATAAAGACTCATACACTCTAACCGGCATCCCCAAGCCTCTGGTAAGAGCTAGGAGATGTCCGGGAAAATGTCTCTGATATCAACATTCGCTGCATTCTTGAAGCTCCTTCCAGCATCTCTAAGGATCCCACATGCTTCCTAAGAGTTTGTGGGGAGGTCAGCTAAAAGTTTGACTGTCTTTCTTTCAGGCAATTTATCACAGCATGCGGTAATTATTCATTTATGTAACATTTGTTTCTCTTTTTTGTGGATTGTCCCAGGCCTGTGCTCAGCACTAGGAAATGAGATTTTAGGAGCTTGAGTCTGAGTAGAAAGAGAAAGGAACTTTGGGAGGTGGGCAGTAGACAGGAGAAGAGTCAGTGCACTAAGCTCAGAAACCAAGGCAGATGGAATTCGGCTTGCCTACACATCTGTGCTCTGGGTTCATCTGTGGGGCTGCCCCCTTGGGCTATCTTCTCCTTGTCTTTAATGGGATGCTTGGCTAAGCTGTGATGTGTGAATGATTTAGGAGTTGGTGTCATTCGAAGATGTGACTGTGCAGTTCACAGAGGAGAAATGGGCTTTGCTGGACCCTTTACAAAGAACTCTGTACCGGAAGGTAATGCTGGAAAACTGGAAGAACCTGGCCTCACTTGGTAAGCCCCCGTCAGCCTTGTGCGGCATTGATTTAATAACTCGGGCGAGTTTTCAGTCCAGGTTGTTTATTGGTATGAAATAGTGTTTGAATCATTTTGAAATACACAATTAAGTGGCTTTTAGTTTATTTATCATGTTGTACAGCAGTGTAATTTCAGAACATTTCATTACTTCTGCTGGGTTTTGGGTTAGCCTCCCAAGGTTTACGTGCTAGAAATTTAGTCCTCTGTGAAAGGCAATGTTAAAGTAGTGGAAACTTCTGAGTGTGGGGCCCACTGGAAGGTATCAAGATCAAGAGACCACCCTCAGAATGGATGCATGTTGTTTCCTGGGAGTCAGCCAGGTCTTGGGGGTCAAGTTAATTTTCTTTTAAGAATGTATTGTTGTAGAGGGAGGTAACCCACTTGCTTAGATCTTCTTCATACAGCTGATTCCCTTTCTACTTCTCCACCATATTAACCTTTTTTTAAATAGCAAAAGAGCGCTTATTTTATTGTTTTTAATTATGTGTACATGTGTGGCTTGTGTATATGAGTGTCAGTGACCATGGGGGCCAGAGGTGTCACATCCTTCTGGAGCTAGATTTGTAGGCAGTTGCGAACTGCTAGGTATAAGTGCTGCAGTTTGATCCTGAATCCTCTGTAAGAGCAGTATACATTTCTGAGTCTCTCTAGCCCTTCCCTGGCATATTGGGACAAAGCCAGGGGCCTTCTCCAAATGCTAGTGCCATGCTGTTTGGACTTTCTGAATACCAAGATCTTGAGCCAAAATAGGCCTCTTTCCCTTGTAAAGTACTTAGTCACAATATTTTGTTACAGCATAAGAAAAGAGGCTAAGACAACTCTGTGGGGTGTGAGTGTGTGTGTGTTCTTTGAAAGTTTCATACGTGTGTTCAATGTATATTGATAACATCCATCACTGCCTCCTTCCACCTTCTCTAAATTCTCCCACTCCCTTTCAACTTTACGTCCTCTTTTTGTTTTTGTCTGTTTGTTTGTTTTGTTATTAATACCCCCCCCCCTTAGTAATTAGTGTTGCCTGGGTATGTGGCCATCCACTCCAGCATGAGCAAGCGAACTGCCAACGGATTATCCAGTAGACCTGGATAAGGCCTTGGGGACCTTCCACCAGCTATGCTGTAATTTTGACTGGCTTGATCTTGCATAGGTAACTACATCTGTTATGAGTTGATACATGCAATGGCCATGTCATATCCAGAAATCAGCATGTCATCATCACCCCCTCAATCTCATAGTTCCTACATTATTTCTGGCCCCTCATCTACTTAAGTTCAGTGAGCCTTGGATGGTGGGGAGTGGGTGTAGAAGACTGCTGTGGGACAATGGTCTTGTATTTTAATAAAATGCTGATTGGCCATTAGCCAGGCAGGAAGTATAGGCAAAGTGACCAGGCAGGAAGTAGAGGTGGGGTGGTGAGAACAGAAGATCTGGGAAGAGGAAACAGTCAGTCTGCAGTCCTCATCCAGACACAGAAGAAGCAAGGTGAGATGCCTTGCTGATAAAAGGTACCAAGCCACATGGCTAACACAGACAAGAATTATGGGCTAATATAGGATGTAAGACTTAAGAAGCCTGAGCTAATAGGCCAACCGGTTTATAATTAATGAAGACCTCTGTGCGTTTCTTTGGGACTGAAGGGCTAGGGGACTGAGCAGGACAGAAACCTCTGTCAACAAAATGGTACCAATGTGGACAACTATATCCTAAACACAAAGCAGAGTTAAGCACTACTTCTTGGTAGCAGCATTTTCTCATATGGGCTCTATTTGCTAGAGACAAGCACATCTCATTTAAGAGAGGTTTCCTGACTCAGCTTTAGCTGAAAAAAACCTTGCAGCTCTTTTAAGAGGCCCCACCACCATACACTTAAATGGTGTTGATGAATGGCCCATAGTATGCTTCTTGGTGGTGGCAGGGACCTTAAAACTCCATAGTTGTGGCAATAAACATGGTCTGGCCAGTACCTCCATCATGAACCTCAGATGGTGGGGAATGGGTAGAGATGACCCATCCCAAGCCTTGAATAGTGAGGAGTGGGTATAGATGACCCTTGTCACTTTAACCAGTTCTGTTTTTCTGTGTTAACTACTGCCCAAGGCAGAAAGAAGCTTCTCTGAACAGTCGAGAGAAGAACAGATCTATGGATATAAACATAAATATTTAGAGTGCAATTTGACATCATAACCATTTAGCAAGACACAAGTATGTTCCTTCCTAGGATCTGTGATTTCGCCAGTCATGGGCTTTTGACCCAGTTTATAGTACCAGGCATGAAATCTCTCCTGTGAAGAGTCCTAATATCCAGTCAGAAAGCAGTTAACTGCATAACCAAAATGCTAGTCACTGTTGCATAAATGGGCACTTTTTTGCCATCCAGTCAGTATTACAGCTTGCAGTGTCTAGCACTGGGTAAGACCATTGATGTCTCTTCTCCAACAGCAACCTGCATAGCACCTTCTGGCACAGTACAACCTATTCATCAGTAAAAGAGGTTTCTGATCATTTTAAGGGTGATTTTTTTGTGTACATTCAAAGTGAGTGGTGTCTTCAGCAGGAGGGTCTTATTGTCTAGTTGTAGTGGGCAAGTAAACAGTGGTCATAGCCTCTGAGGCCTCTGACCAATAACTTCTATGGAGGTGTTTCATGCCTGGCACTAAGATTTCCACCTATGCAGCATACTTCTGTTCAAACTCTAATATATATATGTGTGTACACACACACACACACACACACACACACACACACACATATATATATCAGCTTGCAAACTGTTCTATCACTGTGAAGAGACATTGTGACAAAGGCCACTTATAAAAGAAAACATTTAATTGGGAGTTTGCTTGCAGTTTCAGAGGGTTATTTCATGACCATCATGGAGGATACCACAGTGGCAGGTAAGCAGACAGGCATGGCCCTGGTAGTCACTGAGAGCTTATATCATCTGCAAGATGGAGGCAGAGAGTGAGAGATGGGGTCTGGCCCATCCCTTGGGAGAGAGCTCCTTCAGCAAGGCTGCACCTCTCAATCCTTCCCAAAGAACCCCCAACTGAGACCCAAGAGTTCATGCATATGAGCCTATAGAGTCACTCTCATTGAAACCACCACAGAGCTTGTTCCTAGATCCTAGTTTGCCTAATGCACCCGCACCCACCATTTCCTCTTCTCAATCATATGTCTCCACTTCCCGAGTGTATCTCCCATGTCCTTTCATGTCACCTGTGTCCAACTATTCCCTCTAATTGCAGTGTTTTTTCCTCCCCTCTTGGGTTGAAAGATAGTAGGTTTCCTTATAGCATTTGGGGAAGTGGTTGTTTTTTTGGTTTGGGGGTTTTTGTTGTGTTGTGTGTGTTTTGTTTTATTTTGAGACGGGGTTTCTCTATTTAGCCATGGCTGTCCTGAAACTCACTCTAGATTAGACTGCCCTTGACCTCAGATATTCACCTGCCTCAGCCTTCCAAGTGCTGGGACTAAAGACGTGAACCACCACCTCCCCGCTCCATATGGCTTTTTCATGTACCCTTCATTTAGTTAAGACTCCTGCTAACACCTCATTTCCCCATTCCCTACTCAGCTTGATCTTTTCTCTCCTCATATTCTGTTTTCTATTTTCATTTTACTTCTATTTTACTATTTCCCCTCCTCCCCTTTCCTGAAGACATTCACCCCCAGAGGCAAATATTCAGTTCCTAGCTTCAACATATGTCCTGGTTTAAAGATACAAAACAAGGGGCTGGAGAGATGGCTCAGTGGTTAAGAGCATTGACTCCTCTTCCAGAGGTCCTGAGTTCAATTCCTAGCAACATATGTGGTTTACAACCACCGGTAATAAGATCTGGTGCCAACTTCTGTCTGCAGGGATACAGACCATTGTATACATAATAAATAAATCTAAAAAAAATGATACAAAGCAAAAACCGTCAGGATAGAAACTGTGTATGAAAGAACATATGTAGAATTTGCTAAGGTAACTCTCAAACCTTAGCTACTGCTCCTGGTTATCATTAATCTGCTTTCAGATACTGTATTTTAAAAGTTTAGCTATGGTGTAACATATACCAGGATTTCATTCATTATAATGACTAGTATTATGTTTCTACCAAACTTTATTAATTGGTTGATAAACATTTGTATACTTTTTATTTTTTGGCTATTTTGAATAATATTGTTATGAATATTTGTACATTGGCTTAAACATTTGCTGTTATTTCTTGTGATATTTCTGGGGTTCTTTTGTTTTATTATGAACTGTCAAAGTCTTTTGTGGCATCTGCCCAATTATACAGTCACACTAATATGTCTACAACATTTTCTTTTGTTTATAGTCATGCCAATGGCAGTGAAGTGATACCAGTTACTTTGATTTGCATTTTCCTAATAAGTAATGATGTTGAGCATCTTTGCTTGTTCTTGTTAACTATTAAACTGTGAAAAATGTCCATTGAAGTCCATTTGGGTTGCTAGTATTTTTGTTAGAGCATGAGAACTTGGTAGGTATTTTGGATTCTAATGACCTTTCAAATTACAGTTTTTTACCAATTTCTCTATTATGCATCTTTGCATTTTCTCAGTCTTAGTTAGGGTTTTTATTGTTCTGATAAAACTGTGACCAAAAGCAATTTGGAGAGTAACAAGGTTTTCCACCTTATAGTTCGTAAGACTATTACTGACGGAAACCAGAAGAACTCAGGGCAGAAACCGAAGGCAGGAACAAGTAAAGAAGCCATGAAGTAGTGCTGTTTACTAAGCTCCTCATGGCTTACTCAGCCTTATAGCAGCCTGAACACCTCCCCAGTAGTGGCACCACCCTCAGGGAATTGGGCCCTCCCATATCAATCATCAGTCGAGAATATACACCGGAGACTTATCTGATAGGGGCATTTTCCCAGTTGAGATTACCGCTCCCAAAGTTTCTCTAACTTGTGTCCTGTTGACATAAAGCTTGCCAGTACACTTGACCCCTTGTCAGCTTAACACACAAGCACATCACAACTGTAACTTTTTACTTTCTTGTTAATCTTCAAGATCTCATTTTAATATTAATATCATATATAAAACCTTGCAACTTTTAAAAGTCCCACAGTCTTTATAAGTTCCCTTCCTAAGCCCAGTTGCTTTAAATATCTTTAAAATATATAGAAAGTCTCTTTCAAAGTTCAGAGTTTCTCGAAAATATTCAAAATATATCTAAAATATCCATAGTGTCTCTAAAACTCCAAAGTCACTTGAAAAATTTAATATCTCTCAAAACTGTGAACTCTGTAAAGTTAAAAGAGAATGACACACTTTCTTAACTCTCTCCAAACTGTGAACTCTGTAAAGTTAAAAGAGAATGACACACTTTCTTAACTCTCTCCAAACTGTGAACTCTGTAAAGTTAAAAGAGAATGACACACTTTCTCAACTCCATGTGGGCAAAATTATGGCACAGTTACAATCAAAGCAAAAGAAAACCAAAGTTCAGCAGTATGAAGTTAGGTGCTTGATTCCTCTGACCCACTCACAGCACTCTGGGCTTCTCCAAAGGGCTGGGATTATATCTTGAGCTCTGCCGTCTGCAGCACATAAAGCTTGTCCTAGCTCCACTCCACAACTTCTGATATCCTCAGTCACCATGCCATTTTACCGGGGTCTTAGCTGGGATCATCCTGGTGGGAGCATGTGGACCTTGGGGGATGGCTGGAGGGGAAGGGGAGAGGCAGGGAGGGGAGCAGAAAAAAAATGTAGAGCTCAATAAAAATTAATTTAAAAAAAGAGATAGGCAATAAGAAAAAAGAGAGAGAGAGACTCAGTACCCATTTCCCTTTTCTAAATGGAAGATGTATATTACCACTATCCCCCTAATGCTTTATGTCACAGAAGAGGTGGTGGGAAGCACCTAAAATGTGGAGGATAGAGGAGAATGCTGTGAAATATGGCTTCCTGGATGACGTGGCTGGCACACTTGGGAACTCACAGCAGCAGTGGTTCCTTGAACAAAACATGCATGAGATCAAGCCAGCCAAATTCCTTCATAGTTGGGATAGATGATATCTAGGTCCTACCCCTTACTGGGGAGCTAGTGGCAGATCATGGAAATTGAGAGACGTGAAGTTGAGAGAGGGACCTAGTGAGGAGGATATAAATGTGATCATGTCTTGTTGTATTCATGTATGCAGTTATCAATAATGAAAGTTTAAAAACTAGGTTTGGATTTTAGAGCATTTTGGATTTGCATTAGGTTACTCAATCTGTGCTGCAATTCTGGAGTCTGATTTATATCCATCTGTGAGTTTATCATGCCATTGTATATAGCATTACTGATGTTTCAAAACTTATTTTCAGTGTCCATATCTATCAGGTGTAATCACAGGCATTTTGTTACATATTTCTTAAAGTCCTAAAACCAAAAACCTAACATTACATGTATTTTCTCCACAAATGGGGCGGTGCCTTGATAAACCAAATCTGATATCCCAGTTGGAGCAAGAAGAGGTCATAAGAGAGGTCAGAGGAAGTGTTCCAGACATCTGTCCAGGTGAGCACAAGTGGCATGGGCTCTCTGGGAAGTGACTGTGACGTGGGAAGCAGGAGTGAATCGTGGTCTTTCCTCCGACGAAGGTAGGTATGAACATCGGCATGAACTACCCTGTCTTTACTCTTCTCTCAGCTCAGCCTTTGTCATCTCATACTTTGGCCTGGGAAGGAAAAACAAAGGTGCAGTTCTTTGTATTTTAAATTTTAAGTCACTGGCTGGAGAGATGGGCCAAGGTTAATTTTGAGAGGACCAGAGTTCAGTTACCAGCAACCATTCAGGAAGATTCACACCTGCCTATAATTCTAGCATCAGGGGACCCCAACCCCTCTGTTTACCACAGACATCAATATATACAAACCTAAACACAATTAAAAATAAAAATAATTTTAAAGTTAAGTCACAGTTTCCATTTTTGATAATTTGTTTTGTCCATTTTTTATCAGTCTCAATATATGTCTAGAATATATTTTCTTTAACTCCTAAAATTTCCAGAACCAAATCCCCCTTCTTTCCCATCTTTACCAAATATTCTGATCTCTCAGAGTCTTCCTTAAATTATGCATGCATGTCACCATCTTTCTTTTTTCTTCCGTTAACTTATTTTCTTTTTAACTTGTTTCAGATTTGGAGCCTGTGCTGAAAGTCAAATGGCTGGCTCCTGAGAAACACACTTTTGGAAAATTGCATGCGAATGGCCAGAGAACAGGAAAACTGGAGGTGATGATTCCTGGTTTTCCCATGTTAGAAAAGAGAAAACCAAGGGAGTCATTATGAACAGTATCATTTAAACTTGAGTCTGGGAAGATACTGTGAGATATGATATTTTGCTAGAGGAAAAGATTAAGCCAACTTCAAACATTTCTTCACTGAGGGTTCCTACAAGTTCCCATTTCATTAAGTGTGAATCGGGTGTTGGGTGTTTGAAACATAATGGTCCTAAATTTGTCAGAAAATGTTTTTGGATATAAGGATTTATAGCCAAATGGCTGTAACTTTGAACAAGCTCAAACTAAGCAGAAGTCATATATAAGTACTGAGAAAAGCCAAACCATTTTATAATGTTGTAGATTTTCTAAGAGAGGGATGATACATTATTAATATTATTAATTATAGATACAATTTATGTCCTAATTAACAGGAAAAAGATCATCATGGAATGAAAATAAATGAATGCAATCAATGTTTTAAAGTCTTCAGCACAAAATCTAACCTTACTCAGCACAAGAGAATTCATACTGGAGAAAAACCCTATGACTGTAGTCAGTGTGGAAAGTCCTTTCACAGTAAATCTTATCTTATCGTACACAGAAGAATCCATAATGGGGAGAAACCATTTGAATGCAATTACTGTGGGAAAGCATTTAGTGATCCCTCATCCCTCAGACTTCACATAAGAATTCACACTGGGGAAAAGCCCTATGAATGTAACCAGTGTTTTCATGTCTTCCGTACCAGTTGTAACCTCAAAAGCCACAAGAGAATCCACACAGGGGGCCAGAATCACCATGAATGTACTCAATGTGGAAAGGCCTTCAGTACAAGGTCCTCTCTCACTGGGCATAATAGCATCCATACTGGAGACAAACCCTTCAAGTGCCATGATTGTGGGAAAACCTTCAGGAAAAGCTCGTATCTGACCCAGCACTTGAGAACTCACACTGGAGAGAAGCCCTATGAGTGTAATGAGTGTGGGAAGTGCTTTATCAGTAACTTTTCTCTCACTGTACATAAGAGAATCCACACTGGAGAGAAGCCATATGAGTGCAGTCACTGTGGAAAAGCTTTTAATAACCTCTCAGCTGTGAAGAAGCACTTAATGACTCATACAGGGCAAAAGCCCTATGGGTGCAACCATTGTGGAAAATCTTTCACCAGTAACTCCTACCTCTCTGTGCACAAAAGAGTGCATAACAGGTGGGTATGAATGGTGGTGAGAAATTACTGAGAGAAAACTTTGTTGGTCCTAATATAACTTGAGAGAATTTATATCAGAAGTACAAATAATCTATTGCTGTGTAATATATGCTTACCTCAAGTTTTGTGGCTTTAAACAAATACCTCACACTTTATAGGTCAGAAATATAAGGGAACCTTAGTCGTGTAGTTCTTCCGCAGGACTTCTCATGAGCTTACATTCAACAAATGAATCTTTTGTTGAAACAGTCATCTAAAGTTGTTATCGAAGGAGCGACTTGTAGGATACCTCATCACATGCCTGGGAATTTACTGCTGGTTATTGACAGGAGACCTTCACCAACTCACCATATCAGCATCTTCCCATGATTATGTTTCTTTATAATATGGCAAAAGAAGAACCTCTCCCCAAGTGTTCCAAGAGAAACCAGTTAACAAATGAAGTATCATTTATGACCTCACCTCCAAAAGCTATAGTCTCACACCTCCCCTATTGCACTCATCAGATACAGACCAGCCTTGGTAAAACATGGGAGAACACTGTGTAATATCTGAAGGTCAGAAGACAGCTCTCTGAAAACCATCTAAGAACCTAGCCATGAAATTAATGAAGTCTTCAATAGATCTTGATCCTTTTAATTTGTAGGAAGTGACACTCAGTAAATTGTTAAATCTCTGTGCCGAGACATCTGTGTGATAATGCTTTTTAGCTCACTTCTTGTACTGTGCCCCAAAGATGCTGTGTTGGAGAGAACCTGGTGGGTAGAATCTTGATCATGTGGTAATGGTCTTTAGTGATGTCAGTCTTTTCAGTCTTTCTTGCGGGAAATCACACATCTGAAAAACGAAAGAAATTTGGAAAACTGTACAGCGAAGTGTTCACATTACTGGACACAGATAATGAGGTGCTCTGCTGTGATGATGGGAAACCTTCAGCTGTTTTCCCTTCTGAAAGAGCTATGAGAATACTTTCTGAGAAGCCCCCTTGAGTATCATAGGCATTGGCAAGCCTTCGAGGATTCCTGTGGCGTAGGAAGAATTTGGCAGTGATTCTTTAAGCACATACATTAGAGGGCCACCTTAGAAAGGTGACCTAACACATGTAAGGATGCTTCAGCATCAGCTCTGGCTGAGCAGCATCAGCTCTGGCTGAGCAACTGTGTAACAATATGCTGGAAATGACATGGATGAGTAGGCAGTGTCTGTAGGTTCAGTTGTTGTGCCCAGATTACAACCCCCAGAGAGACAACCAAAAACTAGAGAAGTCCGGACTGCAAAAGCGTAATACGGGCTAGCTCAGAACTCGTCTCCACACTCGAGGCAGGGAGGAGCTAGGGTCCCTCTGTGGGGTGAGCTTTTTAAAGGCGAAAACCACAAGCCCTTCAGGGTAGTCAGGGGGCTTTAGCACAGGTCCCAGGTCTTTGCTCTTTTCCCATCATGTTTTGTCAGCTTGTTTTATCTTTAGAGCAATGTCATGCCGTCCCTGAGTCAGGACATCTTTATCAGTCTCCACCAGAAGGCCAGGCATGCTTGTGTTTTGGCATTTCTCTAGTAGGAGTGAGGGGCACTATCATTTCTGGGAACATGAAGCTAGTCTGGGGTTTTTGATTTTAAAACACTCTGCTAGGAAATTTCTTCTAGTTCCTTTGAGAATAAGAAATGCGGGTCTTACACAGTTACCAGCTTATTAATTTTAAATCTTTGTTTTATAAACATGTATGCTTATTATGTATAACCCCACCCCAAAAACAGCCCTTCAAATTTCAGTGCAGCGTATTTATAGCTTATCTTCTGAAGGGCTGAGTGTGGTAGCACACATTAGTAATCCTAGCAGTCAGGAGGCTGGCAAGGTGGATTGTGAATTTGATGCAAGATGGAACTGACGGAGTACTTTTGTCAAAGTATAAGACTTTCTGATATTGATCTTTTTTCTTCTTTCTACCTAGTGTCCATTTTGTCCTACTTAGGGCCAACAGGATGACTCCATGGGTGAAGGTGCTCGCCACCAAACCTGATCACCTGAGTTCATTCCCCAGCACCCAGACAGTAAAAGTAGGCTCTGGTGGTACACGCCCTTAATCCCAGCACTCGTAAAGCAGAGGCAGGCAGATCTCTATGAATTTGAGGCCAGCCTGGTCTGTGAGAGCTAGTTCCAGAACAGCTAGGACTGTAAGAAACCACAGCTCCAAAAACAAAAAACAAACAAACAAAAAAGCACACACTTTTAATCCCAGCACTTGGGAGGAGAAAGCAGGAAGTCAGGAGTTCCAGTCTAAAAGAGAAACAGAGCCAGTTGGTGGTGGTGGTGGCTCATACCTTTAATCCCAGCACTTGGGAGGCTCTTGCCTTTGATCCCAGCACAGAAGAGACTGAAGACTTTGATCCCAGCACTAGGGAGGTAGAGACAGGCTCCTCTCCACGCCAATTCGGTCTGAGGTTTCATAGAGGTAAGAAGTCTAGAGGCTGCCGCTCTGCTCCTCTGAGCTTTCAGTTTTCACCCTAGTATCTAACTCCAGGTTTTTATTTATTAAGACTAATTAGGGTCATGCTTCAGACTCCCACAAGTTGTCATCTGACACGCATTCATGTCAGCCCACAACAAATAGTTTTTTTTTTTAATCTAAAAGTGTATTAGAATAATATTCCTGGATTTCTTGGCGTTTAAAGACGCGCACCACGGACTTTGGAGGCAGTAGAGAAAGCCTGACTTCTCATTTATCTTCTGTTCCTCTCACCCTTTCCCTTGGCAAGTAAGGTCTGGAGTGAGGAGAACTGTTTGGCTTTCATCATGATGACATAAGCAGTAGAACAGGAATTTCCTCTAAAACCTCTGACTGAGTACATTAGTTCTACATTTTTTTTTAAATTCATGTTTTGTTTAAAAGTAACTCCTTTACCGGTGGAAGCCAACATGATTTGCTGTTTGTTTTTGAGGTGATGTTAAGTTCCAGCTTAATGCAGTATCTAACTGGTAAACAGATTTGTCAAATGATACCATAGTTCTTTGAAAGTAATATATAATTTCTTATATGCTGATATAGGTAGGGTATATGTACATTAATATTCTATTTTAATGGTATGTACAAATTGTTTTCTTTTAAAATAATTTTGTTATAGAGCCATAGCAGACTTCCACTGTGATTATGAATTATCATTCTTAAAATTTTGTCATTTTTTTCTCTTTATTTTGAAATTCTGTAACTAGGTGCATACACAACTGGGTGCTTTTTGTGTGAAGTGTTCCTTTTTATATAAAGACCACGTTTTTCATAACAAAGTACTATAATGCAGTCATAATAAATGGTCAAACACTATTTAGTGCTTCTCATAGACAAGTGGGAATGCCTTATAATTAACTGTTGAGTACACTGGATAAATATCAATGTATTCTGTCCTTACTCCCAGTTTACCAACGAAGAAGTTAATAGGGCACACATCAGTTCACTTGCCCTAGTTCTCTGGCTAATAATAGTATAGTCCTGATTTGAACATAAGACAGTCCATTATTTTAATACTAGCCCATCTGTTGAGCATCTTTTGGGAACTGTTGTATAGGTATTTGCTGAATTGAAATATTATCTCCTAGAGGACACAAGGATGCCCTGAATGGCATCGGGAGAGGAAGCTAATGAAACAGGAAACTTGTCAAACCTTCAGGACTCAAAATGTTCAGGGGCCATCCCCCAGGTTATGAATAGTAAGTAATTGCTGCTGTATGTGTGGAACTGCCAATAAATTGGGAGGGGAACCCTAAGGATGCAGCTTATTTTCATGCAGGGATAGGGTTTTTGGTGTTACAGCTACCTCTGAGTCATCCCTACTCCTTTAAGTAACTTTGAATAATCCGTTGGTTTGCCAAGCCAGGCTTGATGGAATTGTTTCCTTAATTTGGCTCTCGCACCCTATCTGGGGAGTTACATCTCCACAGAAAGTCATACAACATGAAAAAGGTGCCCATACAGGGACAAACAGAACCAAAGATCTCTTAGCTGCATGGGCTCTGTATGGTATTTAAGATGTACTTCTGAAGCCAATCCTTGTGAGAGTGGAATTTGGGGGGCAATGCTGATACTGGAGATAGTGTTTCTCCTTTGCTTTAGTGGTAATTCCATGCTGTCTGATACGAATGATAAGACATGCAAACAAGACTGAGCCATCTGAAAGTGGAGTATCTTTGGGAAGAAATCTGGGGTGATAACTTTATTTCTGTTGCTGTGTTACAACAGTGACCAAAAGCTACTTAAGAAAGGATAAGATTTATTTTATCTTATACTTGGAAGTTAGGGTAAGAACTCTAGGCAGAAACTGAAGAGGAATGCTTTGTGCTTGCTTGCTCACTCTCTGGCTTGATTATAGGCTAATGTTTTACTAGCTTATATGCAAATCACTTGTCTATGTGCCTCTCAAAGTCGGCTGGGACCCTTCTGCACCAATTAAGATATTTCCCAACAGGCCAATTTGATTTAGGCAATTCCTCAATTGAAGTTCTCATGTCTGATAACTGTTGAGTTTATAAAGTTGCCAGTTAACACTAATTGGGATAGTCTTTCTCTGCATGGAGTGGGGTGGCACACCTTACTGGAGTCCACTACACGAGACTGCGTAACTAGTACAAATGTCAGTGGACTAGAAAACATACAGCAATTCTCAGAAGTGGCGCTGTGGGACCAGACTGTAAGCATTTTATGGTGGTTGTGTGCACTTTCATGTGGGTGCTGAAAGACAACAGGTTCCACTGCCTGTCCATAGTGAACTCGACCGTGTAATAGGAGAATCGCAGGGAGAAAAGCATGATACTGCCGCCTGTTCCTGGTGTGCTCTTAGCAGGAAATTGTGGAAATGAGGGAGTGGATGAAATACAGGTGTGACTGCTATTATAGCAGGCTAAATCCAAGGGGGGAAAGGCTGCTAATTACACCTGTGCTGAAGACGCCTTCCTGGGATCACAGAAGTTGGAGTCTGTGGAAAGAATTGAGCAGTAAGGAAAGGAAAGTAGAAGTGATAGAAGAT